ACGCTCTCCCCGCGCGCGCCGCAGAGGGGCGGGGCCTGGGCACCCGCCGCCGCACGCGCTACGGAGCGCGCCCCGGGACAAAAAGCGCGCGGGAGGGGCCGTAACGGCCGCCTCGGGGGCGGGGGGGCAGGGGGGTCCCGCGGCGCTTCCCGCCGCTCCAGGCGGGCCTCGCCCTTCCTGCGGCGGGAAGCGCCCGGGAACGGGCAGCCGAGACCTCCCCCCGGCTGCCGCCGCCCCGCGCCCGCTAAAAGAGCCCCAGCGGGGAGCAAAACTTGGGAGCTCTGTGCCCGAAGGGAAGAAGTGGGGGAGCGGGGAGGATGTGGGGAAGCCGCGTCCGAGGGCGCTAACAGTGACCGAAGGAAATGGGAGGGAAAAGCGGAATATGGAGCTCCTGGAAAAAAACGAGGGGGGCGCGGAGGGGGCCGGGGCTGCCCCGCCGAGAGCTGCGGGGAACCGGTCAGGACGTGAGGGCCGTCCGAGGCCGAGCCCGCCGGGGCACAAAGGAGGCTGGAAAGGGTTTCCCATAAAGGCAGCAAGGAGCAGGGAAGGCAGGGCGGCCGCACGGAGTGAGGGGAGCCACGGAGCCACCTCGGCGCGGCCCCAAACCCCCATTTTCCGTGCGGGCTCTGGGGCCAAAAGCAGCGTGGCTAGCGGGGGAACATGCGAATCCCGGCCTTGAAGTGCGGGTGAAACCCCAAGAAACGCCCCAGAGCTGGGCAAGCGGGACCATCGCTTCTCCATCAGCCAGCAAGTTTCATTTTGGAGGGGCAGGGATGAGGGAATTGTGAAGTTTGGACCCGTGCCACCTGGTAACAGCATCAGTGGTGCGTGCAGTGGGTAGGGAGAGATGGGTGGGAGAGGCACAGGTGATGGTCAGGCATATACAGAGACTTCGGGACAACCGTGAAGCTTAAAGGCACTTTGATATCAATGTAAAATGGGATAAAGTTTACTAAAGGCAGGTGCCAGGCTAGCCTGATGTAGCCTGTATTTATGCAGGCATTAATACATGTCATGTGGAGCTGATTAGGAAGGGCTGATAGTGTGGGGATTTGCAGCAAAACAGGACAGTAGGTGGAAAATGAAGAAAAAAAACCACAGGGATGAAACTAAATAATCTGGCAGATTTTTGGTGGGATGAGGGGAATAACTGAATACATAATGTAGCATTCCATAAGAATTTTAGATGTTGTATCCATCTTGTCAGTCATTATCCACCTCTCACAGAGCTTGCCACATTTAAAAGAAATTGCAAAGTGGTGGTAGTTGAGTTTAAAAACGAGCAGCTACGGTGCAGAGGGGAGCAGCAGGCGCAGGAAATGTCACAGCGTTGAAGGAGCAAAAGGGCCTGACACTGAGGTCATCCTTGAGGACCAACTGGTGACAGCTTTAGCCTGCGGATGAGTGCCCACATGCTCTTTAAAAACAACAATAAAGAAAGTCGCTGTATGTTCAGATTTCTGTAAACCAGCCTCAGCTGGAAGGTGGAACTGGTCGGGATGCTTACAATGAGTCAGCAGTCAACATTCAAGGTGGGGACTGCTGCAATCCCCGTTCATGTGCTTGGCTCACCAATCCCCGAGCCACTGACTGCACTGGAACTGTGTCCAGGCCTGGGGCCGCTGCATGCTCCGTGTCCCGGATCCGCGGCTTGTCCGGCACCGGCCTCACATCGTGGCCGCTCCACGGGGCTGCCGCTCCCCCTGTCAGCCGCAGCGTGAGTTGAGAGGGAATCGCAGCAGCAGAGAAGGGCTGAGTTTGGAAGGGAACCCTAGAGATCATCTCGTCCAACCCCCTGCTCCAGCAGGGACACCCAGAGCACGGGGCACAGGGCGGCATCCAGGCAGGTTTGGAGACCTCCAGAGAAGGAGACTCCACAGCCTCCCTGGGCAGCCTGTGCCAGGGCTCTGTCACCCTCACAGGGAAGAAGTTCCTCCTCATGTTCAGACAGAACTGCCTGTGTCTCAGCTGTGCCCGTTGCCTCCTGACCTATTGCTGGATTCCATTGAAAAGAGTCTGGTTCAGTCCCTCTTACATCTACATTTAGATACAACATTCCCTGCTCAAACTCCTCCAGGCTGAACAGTCCCTGCTCATTCATACCAGAGGTACAGAAACATTTCTACACCTCTTCAATCGTAACCTTTCTCTTTAGGGAAAGCTAAACTGTTAAATTTTTGTTAATTATAATTTAAAGACATTATTGCCAATATAAATCTGACCTTTCGTTCTGTAGACAGTATCTTGCTGAGCAATTACTTTTTTTCAGTGCATCTGATAAGGGGAGATGCTTGTTGCCTAGTTGGCTTTCTGAAATATAGTGTTAATAAGCAGAACGCTTTTGAGTCAGTAACCACAACACTTCCCATGTTTCTTAACACTAATTCCTGTTAATTCTCTTCCCTTCCTCTGTTCTGCAAAGGTCAGGAGCAGTGAGGGACAGAATCAGAGAGGCACCAGCTCAGGTCACCTACAAGTGTGTAATGGAGCTACAGAAAAGGCACCTTTCACAAGAAAAGAAAGGGAGAGGGGGATTATTTATTTCAGTGAACTCCAGGTACTCTACTGCACTCTGTCCAAACACCTTCCGCAGTTTCCTTTCTATGCAGCGGAGGCAGCAGCTCTGCAGGGCGCCAGCCTGGAGCTCCCGGCCCGGGGGGCTGCTGGGGAACCAGCCCTGTGGAAAGCAGGAGCGTTTAGGAGGTCGGTACCGGAGGGGTTAGTGCTCTAGCAGCGACCAAAGAACTACTCTTCATCATCTCTCGGTGCCCGTCTCTCTTTTTCAAGACCCCCAATCTCTCAGTCCAGACTCGGCCCTTTAGTGCAGCAGTAAAACCGAACAGCGATGACTTGACCCTCCTGTTACTGAGACATTTCTGTGACAATTTATTCAGCTGAACCAAGACAAACCTTTTGTGCCCGGCCTAACTTAGCGTGACCCTATTGCAACAGAGACGAGACTCCAAAGCCGAGGGAGTTGCCACGAGAAACACGGATGTGTGGCACTCCAAAACCGCCCTCGCCGAGGCACAAGGGAAGGGAAGCCAGCAAATGAGCCAGCAAAACCTTGACCATGGTGAAGTGTCCATGAAGACCCGATCTCCAGAACCGGAGCAAAGAAGAGGCTTCAGAGACCTGCAGGCCTGGACTGGGTGTTGTTGCCCAGGCGGCCCTGAGCGCAGGCTGTGGGACCGGGACGGAGCGCAGCCGGGAAGGGGCTCCCTCCTTCCCGAGTCCCGGCTTGGCCAATCTGCCTACAAAGCTTGGGTGAGGTCCCCCGGAGCAGCTCGGCTTTGCCTTTGGCTCTGCTTAGGCAATTCCTGTACCTGCTGCTGCTCAGCATCAGAATGTCCTGTGATGTGCAGTATGCAGCCAAACAATATCTCCCCCAAACAGTGAGAGAAGCCTACAGGGAGAGAGGGAGAGAAGAGATTCCACAGGTGTGAGATGCAGTAAAAGGGAGAGCCGCCTTGTGAGGGTACCTGGGGAAGTCGCGAGGGACGCGGCGCTTGGTCCCCGAGCTCTTCCCTGCTCCCGCTCCTGCCTCTGTGCGCGTCGTGAAGGCGGCGCAGGAAATTCCTGCTGCTGGGGCTCCGTGACTCACCTTGCTGCAGTAACAGCAGCCCGGAGCCGCAGCCTTCCCGCCGCGCCCTCCCCTTCCAATCCCCAGTGCTCCAGGAAGAGGCTGCAGCCTCCCCTTCCCGCGGGAGCAGCCGGCCCTCCCTTCTCGCCCTTGCCCTCACCCCCCACCGAAACCCATGGGGAGCCCCACACGCTCCTGCAGTGCCCGCTCATCCCTCCTCAACGCTCTGTCCTTCCGAAGGCGCCTTTTGTCTTGCCCCCTGTTTCCTTACAAGGGGCCACAGGGGACAGGGCCTCACCTCTGGGTCAGGCTGGTCCCGGGAGCCTCCCAGGAGGGCCCGTTTGGCCTTGGGAGTTGCTCCTGGTTTCAGGAGATGCCGAAGCCACCAGAGATAAGCGCAGGAGCCAACACAAGGCCAACCTGGACCATGAAGTTCCTGGGAAGGCCACGCGGCCCAGCCAAACGTGACCGTGTCCATCGGGAATGGGGAAACAAGGAACAGAGAAACTTAAAATTTACTTGCATTACAAAAAAGAATCAGTAGCCGGAAAACCTGATGGATGGAAAGATGGATGGGAAATCCTATCCATCATTCTAGAGGTTATCCAGAAACATGTGCTAATATTAGCTGTATTGCATATAACTAACACACAATGCACAAACTCACTGAGATCGGGGCATCTTCGTGTTCACTTGCATATAAACACATCCAGGAAGAGGAAGTCCGTGCTCCACAGATACTACAAACTACAAAGATACATTAAAAATACATAGATACTACTACACTACACTACAAATACCTAAAACCTCTTCCTTAAAGCATGCAGTAACTGGCATTAAATTCACTGCCACGAGATACTGAAGTAGAACAAACAGGAAAAGAAGAACTAGAGAGCATGAAGATCCCTTTAAGGACAATATTATAAGGCTTCAAGTTCAAGGGAACAGCAGGCTGTTCATTTACAGGCTTTACAGGCTATTGCAAAGAACAAACAAGCAAACAAAAAGTATATAAGGAATCTAAGGGACACACTATGTAGCCAAGGTGAACTAGGTGAACTACTAGTTATTACTGATGCCACTGAGAAGCAGCTCCAGATTTGCCTGCAAAGCAGCAGTGCCCTGCGATACTTTTATGCTGCTGTATCTCCCTGAACACTAACCCTGTCATCCTGCCCCTCTACATTTGGGCCTGTCCCAGAGGCTGGGATAAGCGTCTGCTAAAAATGAGGTGCAGTCTTCTCTGAAACTATTCAGAAAGGTTTCCAAATGTTGCATTAGAACATGTATATAGGCGATCATATTCATAGATAAAAGATAGATAATACATCTGATGATAGATAATACCTGTGATGCTCTAACAGCAAATAGAGCATCTGCTTGTCGTGCACGTTACCTGTATTTTTCTTGTATGCTACAATTTGGACAATACAGCTATGTAAATCTTCAGAGAGACATCTTCTCCCCATGCCAAAGTACTGTGTATTTCTTTGTATACATTATTTTGCTTGGCACAATTTGTTGTTTTTCCATAAAAGAAGGCCAGCGTTCTTGGGTCTCAGCAGAATCAACATTCTTAAAGGGTGCAATTTGGATTAGTTCTAACCAAAGATAATTAACATATTTGCTTCCAGATTAAAGAGTCTTTACATGCTGTTAATTTGGGGAATGCATGTTTTCTTCATTCTTATGCAAAACAGAGCTGGATTCCAGCTTTAAATGAAGGTGTGCACCCAACCACAAATGCAGAGGAGCTACCAGTGCCCCATTTATTTTCCTCAGGTCAGTTCCTGCAAAACACTGCAGTTAAAATGGGGTAGGGTATCCCCAAAGCAGGGGCAATTCCGTAAGAGGAAACTAGTCTGTAAATCTATTTTTTTTTTAAGTAGATACTTACAGTTTTTTTTGCAATTGCTTACGTCAATTGCAGAGTCTGTCCTTGTACACGCAGATTCTTTCTAAAACCAGAAGAGTCATCAAGATCCTGCATGTTGCAAAACCGGTGCGTAACCCTTACAACCAAACAGAAATGAATAATGAATTGAATGCTAATTAAATACAAATCACAGCTTGGAAGGAGTGCAAATACACAGCAGCTTTTCCACATTCTTTTAGGATCGCATTAAAACTTCCCTTTAACAATTTGTGGTCATATCCAGAATAGGGGCTTGTTTCTCAGAACAGTCTTAACTTTTTTTAGATTAGTATTTTATGAAGTTTACATGAAAATTGCCAGAAATCTCATTACAGTGTTTGTTTTCCTCGCGGTAATGGAGTGGGATGTGAAACTCCAGCTTTCCCAAGGCCTCAGCAGCCGGGCTCGTCCCCTTGTTCCTCCTCTCTCCCCACTGATGTTACAGGAAAAAAATTCAGCCATGTGGAGTGTTCATGACGCAGCTGGGGACATACAGCATTATCGTATATAAACATACAATATTATTCACCACGCTTGAGCATGTGCCATCAGGCTCTTGAATTCCAGAAAAGTTCAGCTTTGCATCAGGAAAGCCTCTTTCCCTTATTGCAGAGTTCACCGAGCAGCACAAGTCGCGCTCAGACGTACCCGAGCTGATTTACCCATTACAAAACCAGCAGGACAACTTTCTTGTCATTAGTCACCAGTGACAAATGCTTATTAAAGGTGGCGCGTTTATCTCCTGAGCCACCAGCAGGAGCTTTTGGAGCAACTGGTGCCTCCTCCGATCTCCCTTGCACCGCCCAGGCTCCGTCAGGCCGGCTCACCGGAGCAGCGCGGGGCCCTCCCTGTCCTCAGTGCCGCTGGGATGAGCAGCCTCCCTTTCCATGCACGGATCCAAATGTCCGGGAGAAGGTGCCTTGCAGCGAGGCCGCAGGGCCGGGGCTCCCCTGCCTGCCCAGGGACCTGGTTCTGCTGTCCAGCCCCCTGCTCTTCCTCCCTGAAGCTGGAATTAGCTGTAACGTAGCTCCCTGAAGCTGGAATTAGCTGTAACGTAGCTCCCTGAAGCTGGAATTAGCTGTAATGTAGCTCCCTGAAGCTGGAATTAGCTGTGACATAGCGAACAGGCAGCCTCTCCGCGCGCTACTCAACCCTCTTATTCGGCCCTCTTCACCCACTCCCTCATTCGGCCATCTTGGACTTCCTCGACTCCCTGCTGCCCGTCTCTGGAAACACCGTGGCGTTAGGATAAAGGCTGAGGCAAGCGCAAACCCCGGCGCCTCCTGCAGCCCCAGACCGTGGGTGAACCCCCACGAGCACCGCGGGTGGTGCCAGCCGCGCTGGTGGCCGGCGGCCTCGGCGTGAGGGGAGGCTGCGAGGACGGTCGTGGCAGCGGCGGCAGAGAGGGTGACACCGAGATCGGCCCTCGCACCGTGGTGGCTCCGATGGCGCCCTGTGTGCCCCGTGTGCCCCGTGTGCCCCACGCTGGGCGTCACGGTGCCCCACACGCTCCTCCCCGCGGGGCTTTCGTTTCGCAGGAGCGACCCAAGGCGGCTGCTGCCTGGCTGCGACCTCCGCAGCGCGCACAAGGAAGGAGGAGGGAGAAGGGACACGGAGAGGGGGCACTGCCAGGGACCGGGATGCAGCACGTTGCACCGCGGCGGGGCCTGAGCTGTGCCGTGGCCTTGCAGCAGCGCAGAGCTGAGCTGGCCGAGCAGCCCCAAAGAGCAGCCCCCGCTGCTGCCCCGCGGGGCGCAGAGCCCTCAGGGCCGCTCCGAGCGGAGCAGCCCGTGCGGGACGGGCGGCCCCGCCACCCAAAGCGGCAGCAGCGGCAGCGCCAGCTGCGACGGGAGCCACCCGAGCCCTCAGTGAGGCCCTACCAGGGGGCCTGTACCAGGGAAGAGCGAGGGGCAGCGCTTTGGCTTTACAGCCGCATTGAACTGGGTGATTTAACAGAATTGTCTTCTTCACAGATGAGTTTCTAGCCGCGTTTGGCAGCTTTTGTTCCCTCTTGGTTAGTACTGGCTTCAGTTCTCTAAAGCTGAGAAAACACGGGAGATGGTTTCATTATAGTGTGCTTGAGAGCAAGGTGAGAGAGATCTGAGTTTTAAAATGTATTGCCCCTTGCAGTGCTTCATGTCTGCAGACATGCTGTTCCGACATGGATGCCGTTCCGCTGCGGATGCCATTCCGATGTGGACACTGCTCGGCCGCGGACGCTGCTCCGCCGCAGCTCCCCCCTCACGCGACGGCCTCTCGCCCGGGCGAGCCCGGCCCGGTGCGTGGACAGCGCAGGGCTCCGAAACGCAGACACCGCCCCGCCAGGGAAGCTGCCTATGCCGAGTCCCACCAGGGACCCTTCCATCTTTGCCCTCCGATGAAAGGGTGAAGCATGCAGAGCTGTGGGAGTTCGCAGAAATATAGCCTGGCATTACCATTAAAAAACCTCTAATTTCTCTCCACAGGTAATTAGTTCGCACAATGAAATAATCTCCTCTCTTGTCCTGCAAACGCGTGCACGCAGCAGCTCAGATAGCATCGTTTGCATGCAGGCTGCTGCGCACGCATGTCAGTGCCTGCACGATTGTCAATGCCTGGCAGTGAGAAGTTCGGGCACGTTTCTAATCCCAGATTTCCTGCGCGTGCTCAGCACCCAGATTCCCAGAAAGCCGGAGTGGGATGAGCTACTAAGTATTGGTAAAATGAGGGCCCCGCAGTGGTTTGTGCTGCATCTGGACTGCTTGCAGGTTAGGCTGTTCCCGGATTGCGGGATTTGTGATGATCCTGGTTATTTTAGCACTGGGGGGCTTTTAAACACACATGGGTATTTGTGCATCGCAGTGCTTCTTTTGCCAGTCACTTCTGCTTAGGGCCGTGGGTCTGAGCCTATTGTGCTGCCTCCACTGGCTTTGTCCGGGGCTCCTGGGTTGCTCCCTATTGGAACCAATCTGCATTCCCATTGAAAGCACTATCAGCCACCGTTGGCTTTCATCCCTTCAAGGCAGCGCACAATGGGAACCAGGCCACGAGCACAAAGGCCCAGAGGGACAGGGAGGAAACCCAAGTGCCAGAGCAGCAGCAGCAGGAGCTGCTGGGCTGACCTTGCTCTTCTTGACTCCTTCTGGTCGAGCCCTTGAACTTGGGCCCAAACAAGGGTGTCCCTCGTCTTCCACCTTCATCCGAGGCATTCCGATAAATTGCGATTCATCTGAGTATTCACTCAGATGTTCCCCTTCACTAGCAAAAACTAACCTTAACTCCACCTTGTTAACAGTGACCAGTACCTTCTCTCGCCTTTACAAAAACACTTATGTGTGGACATAACGTACAAGAAACAGGAGCTGCAGATATTACAGATACGATGATATGGACCAAGAAAACAGAAGCACCGCTCAAAGGTTCTTCCCACCAGAGCACCAGGCGTCCAGGCAATCTCCTAGCTCAAGAAATGACAACTTCCAACTAATCCTCACCCACAGATGCATTAATCCTGGAAAAGTAACAGCCCTTGGATATGCAAAAGCTCTGAAACCGTGTCCAGACAGCAAGAAATCAAACGTGAAGTCACATGAAATGCCATCACTCACAAACACCAGTAAGACAACAAGAATCAGAAAGTTCAGCTGTCTTTTCTTCCATCTAGATCAAACCAAATCCCCTAAATTGAGGGATGAACATGAAAACACCAAAAAATACACTTACCTTTAAAGCAAAAGCATATGAAACACATTGTTGGTGAAGAGGATTTTATCAAAAAAAGGTGTGCGAAATGTAGTGCAGTCACACATGTAATTAGTGGCAAGACCGAGCAGAAATTCATATGGTGAAAAGGTGATTTTTATGATTTTTGATGAATTTTGACGGTTTCTGCAATTCTGATGTTCGCATTCGAATTTTGACGCATTCCAACTCGGACGCATTCCAATTCTGACGTTCACGTTCGAATTTCGTTCGAATCAACCATCTTGAAATTAATTCTATCAAGTTCTTATATATTTATTTGCACCTAACAATTACTTGATTTTTAGCAATATCACTTAAAAAAAAAATCTTTGTTCCGGTAAATGTATTCTGCTGCCAAAAGCAAAGGAGACTTGCATGCCACGTTATTTGCAGTCAGTTACTTGCAAAAATCAGGTGCCTTATGGTACGCTTTGAGCTTCAGCTTTCAAAGGTGCAGAGCCCCTGCAACTTTTGTCATCTGAAGCTTGAAATTGGTGACCTGATTCAGGTCAGGATTCATTTCAGTCAGGTCAGGATCCATTTATTCAGGACAGCTGCATTTTTTTTCCCTATACATTTTTGGTTTTTTTTTTTTCCATACATTTCTCCATATATATATATATATATATATATATATTTACATGTTGGGCACAGAGCAGATTTTAACCTGCAGGAGAGAGTGGCGGCCACTTTGTCTTGACTCAGGAGAAGCCCCGGCGAGGGATGAGGCTCAGCCCTCATGATCCCTAGAGGTCCCTTCCAGCCCTTCCACCACTCCGCGATTCCCTGGGTTTGGAATCCCGCTCGGTCTTCCTTCAGGAGATGGCACCGCTTCTGCACATGGGCTTCAAGCCGCAGGGTCGGCAGTTTTTAGCAGTACGGAGTTCACCTCCAAGAGAGGAAGAGGGCGTTTCTATGTGGAGTTTCCAGTTCTTTGAAGTATTCCTTTTTCCATTGAACAGGGATCTGGATAAAATTTGACCAAAAAAAAAAAAAAATTCATTCCTTACTTCAGGTTCGGTTTCAGCAATAAAGAAGTTAATGAGATCACATCTGGTTTTGTCCTGTTCCACTCTACAGGAGCCCACTGCGCCGAGCACCGTTTTCTTCCAGCCTGTTCTTTCATCCCTCTGCTGTCCTGGACGTGCAGGCGCTGCCACGTGAACCAATTAGCAGCGGCCCTAATGAAGTTACTCACCCGCAGTCACAAGCAGGAGTTGCAGTTTCCCAGCAACAGCCACCTAATGCATTTAGACAGACCTTAAAAGATTTTCCTCGGTGCGTGACGGAGCACAGAAACATCCCATAAAAAACACCAAAAGAGCTTCATTCCAGAAGTAGCATTTCAATATTGACACATCTGGAACAGCTGGGTAGCAAGTTGTGCATGTCAAGTTCAGAAGGCAGCTGTTTTTAGCCTTCATTTGGGGCCAGACATTTGCTTTCAGCCACCAGCATATTCCGTTTTATTTTGTAGCTGCTTCTTCAGCGTTCCCATATGGACAGGCTGAGCACTCCAAGGACAGAACTGCAAGGATCTATAAGTGTTCTTTAGAAGAAATGAGGGCCAGATGTTGCCTCGTTATCTTCACATGCATCCTTAAAAAAGTTAAATTAAGTTGTTCCAGATCTGTTATTAATGCCAGGTATGGGCAATTTGTTCATAGGCCATTTAAATGTCAACTTCCTAAGAGACGGAAAATAACATTTTAACTGAGGATTTAAATTGAAATAAAAAGAGCCAACCTTAGAATAACTTCATAAAGGAAGTAAAGCAGAATCCAGGATTGCAGGGGCAAAAACATAGCGCAGGATAGACACGATGAGCTATTTCTGAGACCTGAATGGTCTCTGAGACTATTTCTGGTTTTTGTTTTAAAAAAGTACCTCATTATTCCAGTGCAACAGCAAGTTTGGAGTAAGATTGGCACAACCCAACCACTGATTAAAGGTGTTGCCCTGCGCCGCTTTACACGTGCAGGACACAGTGCAACCTGCCCGCCCAAACGCCAGAGGATTTAGAAACTCAGCTCTGGACACTGCAAACCACAACCACCCTTCATATCTGGCCACTCCATCTAGCAGAGCTACATAATTCTTTACCAGACTGTCCAATAAAGTGATTTAGATAAAAATAAACTGCTTTTTATTTCTTGCCGATTGCCTGAGAACCTCACGGTACTGGTTTTACGGCAGATTCATTTACAATTTTCCCCCCCTTTACCCTTGCAGCTGTAAGAGACACAAGGCTTGGGTTTCAGCTGCCTGGTGAGCCCTTTCTCTGCGAGCCGCTCTACAGCCGGTCACACACAAGAACTGCCAGGACACCAGCGATAACGTTATTTTTGAGTTATGTCACTTTATTAAGGGACTTAAGAATCACATTCTGTAGTAGTCTTGGAACAATGCAAATAGTGAACAAAAGGCAAAAATAGATGTAATTGGTTCTGAAGAGCATGAACATCTGTAGAGAATGTGTTGCATTATTCCTAAGGACTCTACTTTTGAGGGGGGAAAAAAAAAAGCACACGTTCTGTATATACAAGTGTCAGTGCAATAGCCAATAAAGCGATCAATCAGAAATATAAAAATACCCTAGATACAAACTTAAAATGGATGTTGGAGAGCTGACAGGATCAGCTTTCCCTTATTTCTGTACCTCAGGAGCATGACCACTGGGATGAGTTATTCTGATGAGGTAAGAGACAGTAGATGCTCTGTGATAACACAAAGCAATATATAGATATATATATATATTTTCTCTCTTTTTTCTTTTTTTTCTTTTTTTTTTTTTTTCCGTAAGAAACAAAAGATAGAGCACCCGGTGAAATTTCCAATCTTGGCTGCAGGTGCCCGCAGGAAGCGGAACTGCCGCCTGTGAGCGCTGCCCCATTCCCGTTCCTCATCCGGTGTTTCACGTTTGGCCTCTTGGCCAACAATCGCCCAGCAAAACCTCGACTGTGCCCCCCATTCTCAGTACAAAGGGCCCCCGCTCCGCAGGGACACCCAACCTGCAAGCTCCTATAAACACAGACACATCCTACACGTGTCCCCAAGCCCCGTAGCCGCCCTTTCCTCAGCTGACTGCAGATCTTTCCTTGGCAGCAAGGGCAAGGAGAGACTGCAGAGCTTGAGGCCGAGCCGCTCTCTGTCCTGGGTTGAGGAGAGAAGGGGGTGTTGCATTGGCCTTGCTTTGCCCTGGGGGTTTCTGTGGTGCCACTGAAACGAAATCTCCTCTGCCCGAGCCGTAGGACTCAAGTTCCTTGTGCTCACTCGGTTTTGGGTGTACAAAGGGAAGAACCTGGGGCCGCTGCTGCAGTGAAGGGGGTTATATGGCCAGGCTGCCGGGCATCCTATTCCCTGACTTTCCAAAGAAAAGCAAAATATGCCCTTTATGTCTCTGCATGGCGAAGCACCCTGGGAAAAGCTGAGAGCTGAGCTGGGAGGGACGGAAGAGCAAGAGGAAGAGAAACCTCCTACTCCATAGGGGTGGAGTGTGGAAGAGTTAATTTCAAACTGCGCCTCAAAGCCAGTCTCTCCTCGCTGGAAAAGCACACGGAATTATGTTCTCCAGTACCTTTTGATTACCTTTAACGGGACATGATTTATATAATGGAAAGAAAAAGGCACGCCGGGAGCTGGCACTCTCCTTACGGAACTTTCCTTGCCACTTATGGCACACATGTGCACTGAAGCACACAGCAGTTGCTTAAATCTTTAAGAGATTTCTTATCTTTATATCCCAGACTCAAAAGCCTTCCATTTACATCTTGGCATTTTTCATCATTCTTTTCTAAACCCCTTTAGTCTCTGGAAAATCCAGACAGCTGCATGAGATGGAAAAGCAAAGCCAGCAACATCTGTAGCACCATGACACTTGACAAATTATCCCACGTTTGCCTTTGGGTTCCTGGAAGAGGCCTTGTGGATGTCCAAGCCCCAAGGAATCCTCACCTTTCTCTCCTTAGCCCGCCTAAACGTCCAGCATGTGCAAGCACAAACGTGGTGTCCAGCCCCTGCCCACGCCGCCCGGCTCCTTGGAGAGGCGCCGGTCGCTGGCTGCAGGGAGCAACCGTGGGGCTCCCACGGGACATGATGAGTCCAGCGGCGCCGGCAGCTCCAGGTGCTCCTGGCGCTTCCATGTGGAGGGAGTCGCTCTCAGATTGGGCTGCAGCCTCATTCCCGGCCGCTCCAAGTCCCTCCTTGCTCCGGTGCCGGTGAGACAGGAGGCAGCTGCTGCCTGGGAAAACGCTACCCGCGGAGCTCCTGACAACAGCAACGTTTATTTAATGCCGTACAACGAAGTGAGACAGGGACGTTTGCGCCGGGACAACAGTAAGTAGCTTCTCCTACTGCCATGGGAGGTGCTCATTGTATAATATATACACAATGAACATAATTACATTTGTACACAAACTGAGCACTGCATTGGGAACCTGCTTATTGCTGTACACACCCTAAGCCACCGAAGGAAAAGCCCGGTACCTCAAATACCTGCACTGCATTTCACTTAAAGAAAAGATCAACAAAAACAAAAAAGCAAGCACTAACATTAATGTGTATGTTGACAGAAGTGTGGCAGTAACCGCTGACATTGCAACCTGACCAAGAAAAACTTACAGCAGAAACGGGACATATTTTACTAAGCAATAATAAAAATGGCACATTTTAAATATATCTATATGTTTATATATATTTATATATATAAATTTTTTTTTACAAATAAATGTCAAAACAATACACTGTAGTGTTAAAAAGTGTAAAACAAGGTTTAGTGGTGATATGTAAAATTAACTGATTTGTTACGCAGCTAAAGGAAGCAAAAAGCAAATGTTTATGATCCATAATTAAAAGAACAGTAAATTCTGGAAAGTATCAAATAAAGTTCTGACTGTAGGCTGCACATTAAAAAGAACCTTTATTTTATGTGCACAGAAATCATAGCAGCAAGCTGGTATCAGGAGAACAATCTGAAGGTTGTTGAGTGTACATATGGGCCATTTAAAGCTCTCTTGGAATAAACATTTTCCAGGAAGTGATAAAATGATGCTCTGTGGCCAAAAGCATCAGAACTATGAATTTCATAGATTTAAAATATACTGTACAATATCTTCTCACATTTCCATAGGTCAAGTCCATACATCTCAGGCATGAATTGTTTCAACAGAAGCCGTTAGTGCTGAAAGACAGACACAGATTAAGTTACTCTATTTTAGGAACAACAGAATATTGTATAAAGTAACTCCTGGGATTACATAAGGCAAGGAATTTCTGACCTCGCCCTAGCAATAGTTATCAACAGTGTAGAACATAGTAAATTATAAAGTATCTTAGAAAATATGCTGTTTCGAAAATAATTTCTGACTAACAATATGGTCGTCAAAATACTTCTACAGCAAGAATCAAAAGTTAAACTTTTTTTTTGCAAATTTACACAGTTTGGTACAAAAAAAGGGTTTACTCCGAGTTTTATATCCTGCTGCACACTGCCATATCCAAGGATGCTAAATATAAACTCAGTCATTGCAAAGACCCCGATGGCTTTTACGAACGACAGGCGAGGCTTGCGAACGGCTGCCCTCTTTTCCATTCGCCCTGCTGTAAGCGAAGGGAGGGAGGGCAGCGAGCTGCACTGTGCTCAGCACTGACAGGACTCCCCCGAGCAGCTGCAGCAGCTCCGTGGTGAGAAATATTCCCGGGCTTCGGCTCCAGGTGCTGTGCGGGGTCTCTCTGTCGCTCCTCCTGTCCCTGCCAACGCGCCCGGAGCTGCCTCTGCAGCGCAGCAGCTGCGACGAGGGAAGCAGCTCTGAATCCCGGGCCCTTTCCGGACTGAGGGAGCTGGGCCTGGTCGGCCTGGAGAAGAGGAGGCTGAGGGGGAACCTGATCAGCGTCTATAAATACCTCAAGGGAGGCAGTGAGGAGGAGGGGGCTGGCCTCTTCTCAGTGGTGGCCAGCAATAGGACTAGAGGAAACGGCCACAAGCTGAGGCACCAAAACTTCCACAGGAACTTAGGGAAAAATTTCTTCACTGTGAGGGTGCCAGAGCCCTGGCACAGGCTGCCCAGAGAGGTTGTGGAGTCTCCTTCTCTGGAGATCTTTAAAACCCGCTTGGAGGCAGCCCTGTGCCACATGCTCTGGGTGACCCTGTGTGAGCAGGGGGTTTGGACTAGATGACCTCTAGAGGTCCTGTCCAACCTTACGGATTCTGTGATTCCTTCTTCCTAGAATATCCTGCACCACTGATTTCCTGCGCCAAATTCTCCCGGCCTTGCACCAAGAGTGTCATTTTACTAATTGACCGCAAAAGCTAAATATAGGTATTACCTCATCATTCCCTGAAAGCTACCACACATTTTCCAGCTGCCTCGCGAAAAACTGGGTCTAGCAAGAAGACCCAGAAGAAGGGGACAGATCCAAGTGCTCTGAGGTGCCCTCTGCTCATGGGATGTGTCCTGCCAATGTGCTCTCCCGCAGAGCACAGCATGGCACGGCCGGAGCGGCGCCGCAGGAGCAGGGGGCTCGGAGAGCTCTTCCCCTGGGCTCACCTCCGATTCTGAGGAAAGGGAACCCGCGGGTGGCATCACTGCGGCCGATGCCAACCTGCTGCCATGGGCGAGGAGCTCCTGGGCCAGCGCTGGGCTGCTCCCTGCTCGCCGGGGGAGCTGTGGTCGGACTAGGTCACCACTGCCCCGGTTAAAAATAAGGGGCATCAAAAATGTGTTTATATTGTGAAATTAAAATGCATTACCGCAAATCAGCATTTCCATGAAAATACTGAATTGTCTTCCTGATCAGTTTTAAAGACTTCCATAAAAGCTCTTTTTGAATAACAGCATTAAGAGTTTAGACTGATTCTAATCATGAGACACACGCTCTCAGGAAAGCAGCAACACAGGTGCCAGTGTTGAATGCAACCTTTTTATGTAAAAGGACAAAAAGATGAATATAATTTCCACTTTGTTAAAGAATAACAATAGTTTCCTGCCTACAGTTCATACAAAAAAGGAATATATGATGCATAGTTAAGCATGATCTTGCAAAGATTAAAGCTTGGCAATACAGATTGGGATAGTAAATGGGAAAATGCAGTTTAATCCTTCCCATTCTAAATCACTGAAAACTTCTTGATTTAAATATTTCCTAAATCATATCATCTATGCCCTTTAACACCAACATAAAACAAAATTCATTCTTTTAGCAGAAAGCTTGAACAGGTCCTTCCTGACAACAACAAAGTTGATTTAAATGCCAGCAAAACGCCCAAGCATTCAGATTTGTGTCATACTAGTTTCTCTAAACATCTGTATAAACAAATATTCTGACTTATATTCCGACTTCCATTCCTCAAGTAAGTAACACTATGGGGAGGAACATGTAAGTCTAGCCCAACTCGTGCCTTTTTAATTTGATCCCTGGAAGAAAACACCTTGTACGGAAAGGCTGGAGAAGCTGTGTAGGGCTGCCTCCGTGCAGAAAGAAAAGAGATGTTTTTGTAATTGTTGCACTTATTCCGCCCTCACTTTTCCCATCCCATTTTTCATGCCCTCCTTACCTGTGTCCTAAAGCCACAAAATTTTTGGAGCTTTATTTCACGCCCTACGCTGCATCATCAAGAGCTGCTGCTCCCCTGAAGCATCAAGGGTCACTTACATCTCAGCACTGATGCTCCTACCTTAACTGCACATCTGCTCTGAAACACCTTAAGTCTCTTATATATTTAAGCAAACTGCTATTACCCTGCCATTTGAGGTGAATGTACTTGATAAGCCAATTAGTCTTTGCTCTTTATATCTGAATACAAAATACATTACTTGCAAGCAGATCACTACGTTTATTTTATGGTTAATTTGCATTCAACACTGCAGATACCTTTTTGTCTTGCATTATATTGTCTACAGATGTACTGCAGAAAGATAACAAATATAAATACACTGAAAAAGAGCAGGAATAAAGGCAGGAGGGGAGGGAAAAAAGACGTACTTCTCTGTACTATACACACATGAAATGTGATCCTTCTGTGAGCTGTGGCTGTGCAGATGGAGCTGGTGACAGGGACGATTCTGGTGAGGAAGGCAAACTTTTCACTGCGAGTCATACAGCAAGACAAATAAGAATAGATGTTACAAAAGGCAAAGGTTACCCTGAAATCATGATTCCAAGCCATAATAATAAAGCCTGAAAAATCACAATTTCAAATCGTAAGAAATATAAACAGAATCAAATGGAAGTTACACAAGTAAGGACATAAAGTGTCATCTTTTTAAAAAAACACAACACAATGAGCACAATTCAGGGAAGAATGCAAGCCCTTCTCAAGAAAGATCATCAAACAGACTTTAAATGACTAGGAGAACATTGCAGAAGAACAAAAAACAGGACACATGAAAACTAATGTATTATCTGCATCAAAAGAGAGGAATAATTTTGGTAGAATATGTAGAATTTAATTATTCAGAATAATTCTAGATCCTGCTTTATATCCCTGACACAGACTAACTATGCATTTCATATTCTGCATGACATTATGAAATGTATTTACAATTCTAGAATGGATTACCAAGTCCCAGCAAGGATTGTTGACTGCACTACAAAGGTCCAAGTCACCTTTTAAATCCAATATTTCAGCATTTGACTTCTTCAACCATTCCTCTCACCAAATATCCAATAATGCCTTAAATTGCCTCCCTGCTTCTCCTTCCTCCCATGTGTGCTCTCTTTTTTTTGATCCTTGAAAAAACCCAAGTCTGCTTTACTCCAGCTTTTACTTCTTGCAGGCCAGTTCTGCACCACCAGTCATATTACCAGCCAGCTACTGTTTTCTGCTTAAACATGTTTTCTTATTCCTGAAAACCACTATTCAGTGGCCTTTTATTTGCTAGTTCACAATCTAGAGACTCTAGAGACTCTTGAGGAGTCTTCAATCTTGGTGGTATTATAGGAAGGCAAACTATAATGGAAGCCCATTAGCCAGGAGGTAAAGGCAAAAAGTAGGGAGATATCCAAGATTAAGAAGTTGTGCTGCACGGAAGGATTTGCTCCAACCAACACCTACAGACTGACTCAGCTTCTGGCAATAGCCTCATCCCTAAATTAAGTGTATCCACAAGATCTACATAAAACCTCAGAAAACTGAACTGCTGTAGTTATCCACTGGGTAGCTATTTTTCACTTTGTGTTGCCCAAACACACTTTTTATATCTCCACCATGTCAGCACTTTTCCATTCACTAAAATGAATAAAAATTTACATATGTAGCATGTAGACTGTGCATCAGTCACTCCCTTTTCCATACCTGCTGCTGTCTGGTTTCCTTTTGAAGACTGTGCTGCTAATTCAAATGAAGAAATAATCCCTTCTTGTTCTCGAATGCTGACTATTTCACTTTCTTCAGAGCGGGTTTTAGGTTTGTGGTTTGCAACTGTGGTCACATTCTGCAAGCTGATTAAAAAAAGCACAGCTTTTAGAACTCCCCTAACTTAATTTCAGGTGTTAACCACTAAGTATAGGAGTTACAATTCAGCTTTCTTCTGTTAATAGAAAAACCCTGCTACTTGGAAGCTGGTGTAATGTAAGTCAAATACATATTTTGAAACCCTTCTACCTTGTAAATGGAGACTCTTCAAAGAGCTAAGTACTGCTAACTGATCTCCTTTCCCTCACATGTGCTCACAGTTTCCTGCGACAGGTTTCCCCTTTCACTGAAGTGTGAGAAACTGTGAGAAAGTTATGACCAAATGTAGGAACTCACTTAGGATTTATAATGCAACTGTAGAGACCGTGCAATTTATAGAGTTATGAATCATTAAAGAGGAATATCTGCCATAGGGTATTCCTCTAATTTGGCTGGGTTTTCTTTAGAAACAGGGATGCAGAAGTTAAAGCATCAAGTGTAAAAGAAGGCATTTAAACGTGCTCTTAAACGTGATGTTTTCTTAACTATCAGCAAGAAGGAACTTGCCATGAAAGTCTTCTACCTTGGCTGAAGCTTTCATAACAAAATAATACAGAACTTTAGCTAACATAACTAATTAGCTTTTGTTTTCCACAGCAAGGATTATGAACATATTCTGCCTATAACTGGGACAATACTTGAAAATAAACACTGCCTCCCACCTACTCAGCTCCTCTTACTGAACCCTTACACAGCTTAAGTTTCTCACTGGATTTCTCTGCAAGTAAATCCCTTAAACATATAAAGATACCTTATAAGTATTTATGATGGAATTTCATTAGCTGCTTGGGGCTTTCAGCTAATAAATACAATGTGCAAGATTAAAATAGACCCTTCACATCTTGTTTTATTTTTTACCTTATATCACCATCACGTGTTTCTTCTGATTTATTTTTCTTTTCCTTTTCTGCTTTCTCTTCATTATTCACTTCTTTTGAGTCAGAAACAACATATGCATCCGATAAAAGATCTTCAGTTTTTGTCAGCTATAAAAAAAAAATCGAAATCATGAAACAAAAAGCTGTAACACACACTAAGTGGTAGATAAGAAACACTGTATCAGGAAACAGTTTTATTAATGGACAAATTTTGCCATCATGTAAACTTAGTAACTCAGAATTACATAACTTAAGAAATTTTTATCAATACCATTCCAGTTGATAGTTGCTGTCCTGAAACACATCCCAGAGCCAACGAGCAGGATTTGGTCTAATAGTTTCCAGAATTCACCCCAACTCCTCAGATTGCAGCCTGTGTGTTTTCCCTTCGTGCCCCTCTGGTAATGGTGCCAGCAGCAATTCCAGCTGCTGGACACATTACTGAGGAGCTTGAATGCTCCTCTTAAGGGTCTGATTGGACACAACGGATGGCAGCGGATCACGGAATGCTCCTTTCAAGACTTGATTACTTAACATAAAGCAACAGGCTCCCAACAGAAAAGTGTTTTTAAAACAATGAGGAATAACAAATGTTAATTATCTAATTTTATAGCCCTATCCATCAGAAACGTGCCTTAAACAAGCAAGCAAGATGGAAAATGAGGGAAGAGCAAAGGGCGACTAACACAGCAACACAGCTAGAAAAAGAGCGGAAGAAATTCTACGTAAGCAAATTAAGAAACATTTAATTGCCAGGAGGATCTGATTATGTGGGAGAAGCGCCAGGGAGCCCCGCAGCTCCCAACAGGCCTGATTTCACTATGTGTTCCAGTGCCAGATGCACCAGGGCCCCACGCGAGGACCAGGCAGCCCAGGCTGCAGCTCCTGCCCAGCTCCGCAGGCGGCCACATCCTTCTGCTCCCTTTGAATCCCGGGATGCTCCGACACCAGCCACACCAGGAGGAGGGGGAGGGAAAACCGACTGGCAACAAGGATGGGCAGCTCTTACATGGAGAGCACGTCACTGATCCCTGCCTAAAGATGTATCAGTGTCACCTTGCTTGCCAAGTCACGGCTCACCAAGACCACGCTGTCATTTTCCATCAACTAAGGCATAAAGAGTTGATGTTAAATAACACTAAATTTAAGGCTTGTAACTACACAACTAACAGAAATTGCTTTCTCAGCAAAACAGGCACATCTGATGCAATTTTGCACTACGTATGTTGCACAATATTGATAAGAATTTTGCACTATAAATATCGAAACATTTGTTACACTTAGAAATGTAACTTATTCTTCCAAGCAAAATTAAAGGGCTCAAACCCCCATACTCCCCATATTTAATCCCTCTCCTTTTTAAAAAAAATTCTACTGTAAGACTGACTGCTGAACTCTCCAATTAAGCCCAGTTTAGTACCTCTGCAGTAAAATCTGAATTATATTCTTGTGCTCCATCATCTTTCAGTTGTGCTATTTCTTCTCCCGGAGTTTCATTATTTTCTTTCAAATTATCTTTAATGGCACTCTCTAGGTTACTAGGGAGAGTATCATCCTTTTTTCGACTCTGCAGAACAAAATTGACATGGAGAAACTTACTATTACAAAAGTGGTTATTACAGTCTCAGTTCTGGCTTAAGGCTTACACAGTCCTCTGAATATGAAACCAAATTAAGAAACCTTTAAGCATTTAATCTCGAACTTTCCAAGTGATATTTCATTGGAAAACATACCCTAATACAGGAAGCAAAAATAAAATTAGTTTTCAGAACTTGCCTTTGAATTTCCTAATTTTTTTGTGCATTTCAAAACTGCCCAATGTACTGCACCAGTGGCACAAATACCCCAGGGAAAGCACTTGCAGTGACATCTGCATTTAGGTTGCCTAACCTTTTCCTTCTGTGAAAGATTATTATAAACCCCCCCCCCCCCCCAGGAAGTTCCAGCTCTTTTATTGATTGCCTTTTCTTAACTTGTATAATTCCATTTATATTTAGTCCTGTTACACACATGTTTAGTACTTTTCTTATTGAAATTCATTAAGCACTGAGAGTTTAAAAACCTTTTTTCCTGATTAGAAAAATGATCGATAACAATCCACTTCCACAGTGCAAAATTTATAGCACGCTTGCATGCACCATCTCCAATTATCTTGGGCATCTTCCAGGTTTTACTCCAGTGCAAACTGATTTAAAGAGAGACATTTGATACTAGCAGAAGATAACTGAACAATGTTCAAACCACAACATTACTTATTCCATTAAAAATGCCATTGCACAGAGCATAAAAAAAGACATAAAATTGCTGAGGAAGGATGGTAGAGGTGTCTTCAGATTTTGAACTGCAAGCAACAGTGCCAGAACAGCAAGGCAAACTGAACTTCACATAAGTCACGTCAAACCAAACGCTGGGAGAGCCACGAAAGCAGCAGAGCTGGTGCCTGAACCCCTGCCCAGTGCAGCGCTTGCCCTCTTTTAGGAGGAAGTTCCATTTAAGTCAGTTTTACAAATCAACCTCTCTGTTCTCCTACATAAAGTGTGCACCCACATTGTACATTGTCCCCAAACAAGAGCTATTAACCAACCTCCTTTAGTATTCTGATAATACTATCAGTATGCTGTAAAAAGGACACTAATTTCTTTTATATAGCTAAGGGATAGAGTATCCTATTAGTATTTTAGTATTAGTATTTTAAGACTTCTAGCACTTAATGCTAGCTCATCATTTTCCATTGGGAAATCGACAGAAGCACAGAAACTATACTTTTAAAAAGAAGAAGTGTCAATACAGTGTAAAGCTTCACTTTGGAGCCCTTTACAAAAAAGCCCTCGGGAAGAATATGAGGTAGCCACAGCAGAAGTGAATTTCTGCTCACCAGGCACAACAAATACACAAATTGGCTTCCTGGCTGTGAAGGATGGAATGGTACCTAAGGAAAGAGGTGAAGCTCAAACTCTTTTGTGCAAAGAATACACCAAGAAACTTGTGCAAAGCTTCACTTTACATTTTCTCTTCATGAGAAAGGCCTCGTTATTTATAACAATATGTGGAGCAGCCGCCCTGCATTCATGACATCCTCTCAAATACAGGTATTGCAAAGGCAAAAACATCACCAGGGGATCCAATCTTCTTGAAGGAAAAGTACCTTTTGCACAGCTCTGAGGACAGTGTAGCATGCAGGTGTCAGATTAATAAAAAACCTAAACCTTATTTGGCATCTTTCAAACGAAAAGTGCCATGTGTTTAACCTGCTTTTGGAGAATCAGATGTCAAAAAAAAACGTGAAACATGAAAGGAGGTATTTCCATGTTCTTCTAAAATATCAAGAGCAGGATCTATGAGACACAAAGTATGTCAGAAGATAAAAAGATAACCCTATTAAACTCTTGCAAAGGCAGACATGAATCATTAATAAACTCAGCTGTGGCAAAGCAGCAGGCTGGGTCTGTAACATGCAAGCATTCAGTTGAATCTGCTTCTGTTTTCGTCCTGAAGGTGTTGTGGTGTTTTGTTTTGTTTTGAAAGAAGTATTTGAGTCAGTATTTCCTGGTTAATAACAAGCAATTTCTTCCTCCCTCTTCTCTCTCTCTCCACCCTTACACATTTAATAAGGGCTGCTCTGCCCTAATTGTTTAAGCCTGAGTGAAAAGGAAAGTGAGGATTCTGTTTTTATCAACTTATGGGCTCTGAAACCACAGCTGAAGAGATCACCATTTAAGAGCTACGGTGGTGAAACACGCACCTACCTACAATTGGCTATAATTTATTTTTACAGATGTTTGCATATAGTACATGACAGAAAATCTTCATGATTTATACATCAAATGGTTCATGATTCTCCCCGACGCTGTATTTAGTGACAGAGCTTGTAATTTCACATTGTTTGTTAAATTTGACAAATAAGTAACTGCTAACAAACATCACAATGCATAATCAAACAGATGTAATTTTAACATCTATTTAATATGTTGTTTATTTTCACAAAAACAGATGAATTCCATTATCAGTAGGTATAAATATGAAGGTCCATTTCTCTTGTGCCTGGTAGAGAATTGTGACTGTTCTTCTATACGAAGAGTCTCAATGAGGTGCAAAAAATATCATGTAACTTTGGAATAAGTTCATAAAACTCTTTTTCTTTGCAAATATACTTGGGACTCACCTGTGTCAACTTGAAAGGATTATCTCTGACAAGAGAGAGGCTCTGCAAAGGAGATTGCTCTGAAACACCAATAATATTCGGTCCTTTTCTCTTCTCTCTTAGGCAAGCTTGTTGGTGCCTTTTTATTCTTTCCATCTGTTCCTCCACAGTCATTCGAGGCCGAGCGCTTTCTGCAAGACACAACTGCTCCACTGCACTTCTTGGTCTCTCCTTAAATGGAAGAACACTTTTTTTAAAGAAAAGCAAGATTCCAAGCTGTTCAGCTTATCACAAAAGATCGCCTAATGATTTATCAAAAAGCAGAAAAACAGCTGGCCAGAAAAGAGCTCCTGTGTATCCAAAGAAAGCACATGAACTCATGACTAATAAATGAATGCTGACGTTGTAAAGAAACGGATGGAGTCTTTATCAGTATCTATATATTTGTACACATATACACACAAACACACACACACATATATATAGTGCCATTACTACCAATGATGTCAAGAGAAGGGCTAGATGCTTTCTCTAAGCCATCCTATGAAATTTAAACAATTTACCAAATGTTGCATCACAGTCAAACAAAAGTTACTCATTTGAGACAAATATAATTAAAATTTAATGATCCATGATTTTTCTACCAGTTGATCTGATGGTCCCTTCTACTTTTTTTTTTTCCTTTTTGTTCTAAGAAGAGTTACAGCTGGACATCACTTAATTGGGAGTGACAAGGGGTATTCTTTCTTCAGTCAACATCCTGTTATTTTTCCTCTCCTCTCTGCTTTAAGTTTTCTTTTCCCAAATTGTTTGGCAGTAAAATAAATAAAACCCATTATATGTTACAGAGAAGTAGTTACATAGTCCCCAAACCTAAAGATAAATCCTTTAAACATTTTAACATTTTTACATTCTTCCAATACAACACTGGGAATAAGAGCTCACTGCTGCTGTACTGCATATAGTAAAAATAGTAGTGGTGACTATCAAAAAAATGAGCTAGAACTTCAGGTCTCACTTGCTTAGTATATTTTTCATTGCCGTTTACCTCTTTACACATTTGAGTGCAAAGAAATCTCTAGGTAATTTACAATACCTGACCCTTACAGTTTTGTCATTCTTTCTACAGCCATCTCCATTAATGCATTATATATTATTTATCTTACCTTGTAACATTGTGAGTTTTATGTAAAGGAAATTAAAAAAAAGAACATTTAAAAAAAACTATAAAAAATAAACCTATAAAATTAACACATTGCTATCTACGAGTCACTGAAAGTTATTTTAAATTACCGTTCTTAAATCTATCTTCTTATTCTTCCTTAAAGTGACATAGGAAGCTATTGTTGATGATTCTGGAGTTGGAGATTTGGTTCGGGGCGGTACAACTCCCACAGGAAAATGCGAGCCTGTGAAACAGTAAAAGAACACACTAAATGCTACACAAAATACCACCAGAAGAGCTTAATGCTTCCTAAAATTCTAAGTTGTTATCCCTGGGAACTGTTCTCCCAAAAGACAACAAAGATCCTCATGCCCAACTATCACAGATGTGAAGGCACAGAGGTAGGTAACTAGCCTCTGGCTTGAGGTATAGCTAACCAAAGAGAACACAGAACTAGTCCACATGACATGAGAAATTACTGGACATAAAAATAACAGTGACACTGACAAAAGTCATAGGTAGCACTGTGAGGAATGGCCAGATCCCACGGTGAAGGGGGAGTTATGTGAGAGATGGCCAAACTTCACATAAAATTGGAGGGGAAGACTGAGGACTTTCTGGGAAGCAAAGCACCCAGGGCCAGCAGTGTCTAAGTAACTACAGCAGCAACAGCACAGGAGGCCATGCCCTCCTAAATAACAGTATGAGAAATCCAAAACTTGGGTAGGGGTGCAGCAAAAGCGGGACGAGTGAAGTCACCGTGCGTGGGCTACTTGGTGAGGAAACAAGGGCAGGGAAAAGGAGGGCTCAAGGTGGACAGGGAAGAATCCGCATGGGAACACTGCAATCTCCCAGCTCCTCCTCTCTGCCAAATTCAACATCTCTTAGCAATGTCTGTCCTAATTTCACTCCTTACAAAACCCTCGCCAGAAGGTAACGAACCTGCCAGAAAACTGAGGTGAGCTTAAGCTTCTCCTCCCAAAGCTATGCACGCACACACACACACACATCATATATAAATAAAACACATGCTTAATTTCTGCTTCTTGATGCATGCAGGAAGTCAAACTACTGAAGAAAACTGCCTACTTTTGCCTAAAAAAAGAAAAAGCTTTGAAAGACAAATTATTGCTCCTCATATTTGCTGGAGAGGCCACCCGATTTCCGAGGATATATTGACTCAGTGAAAGCTCAACTGTTTCTCCAAATAATTTGGTAGGGCGGACAAACTAGTCTGGAGGTGTTTGAATGCCAAGTCTAGCACTCAAAACAAAAACTATAAAACAACAGTTTGGGTCTCCTTTACACATCAAAAAGACAAAACACTGAGCAGAAGTCCATTCGTCTCGTGTCACCTTTATGTACTATTCAGGTCATAAACATTCCTGTTTAGGGAGAGCAGTCAGGGTTACCTTACCTAGCTCCATTAAAATGTTTCTCTTTTTTTGTTGGCATTTAGAAAGAAACAGAGAGGCAAGTGACTGAAGGCAGGAAAATAGAAAGTGGCCGGCTCAGCTAAGTACACAATGAACTGGAAAAATACTTGCTTTTCTCTTGAAATTTACTGAATCATAGAAGCACCCACACTGGCAAACTAGAGAGTCACTTCAGTATGACTCCTTAAAACAGTAGGAAAGAAACATTTTGGAGAGATGAGCTGTCTGCGAGTTTCTTTCCTTTTTAGCTTGTAAACTGTTAAGACAGAATGTCGTAAGAGGTTCTTTGAAACCAGAAGTTGTTGTTGCACTGACACGTGTGCTACAGCACAGCGACAAGTGGCTATATTTTTCATTATGCTCAGGGATTACTATTATTATTAAGCTAATACAGAGAGCAAAAAGACCTTCTAAATAATACACATGCTCCCAAGCTGGGCTAAATGATAAAGCACCGTTGCAACAAACCCACTTCAGTCTATTATCTAAAGAAGAAAGAATGTCCCTCCACTTGCTACCACTATTCTCCCCTGCAAATACTATTTATATTATACAGAAGTATTTACATTATTGTTGTTTTTGTTAAAGATGGTCATAATAAAATCTCCTCTTTCTTCATCGAGCAAGACAAAAAGCAGACTGGGTGCTTAAAAAAAATGCAATTTGCTTTATTCAGCCAGAGAAGGCTTTCTTGGGCTGCGTTTACAGTGACTTTTCCTCTCATCTTAAATGTCTATAAATAGCCTAGGACACCACAGGTCAATAAATCTTAGGTATGTCATCAGAAAGGCAACCGCCCCAATTAACGTGCCTGATGATTAGCAAATCTCAGGCTAAACCTTGAGTCTTTCACCAGCAGATTAAAAGAGATTTAATATCCACCTTGCGTGACCACTACATCTCAGCATATGCCATTCGGAATCGGAATCAAGTAATTTAGGAGCGTTTCTGTTCATTAAGTGCAAGCTTAATGAAAAGAATGAATTACGTCAGAGCTGTTCACCGTATTTTACACCCAAACAGTCTTGGATGTGATGTCCTTGGCTTTAACCCCCTACACCCACAGACCCCTACACACACCCCCTTGTTCTGGTGAAAGTAACACCCTCACCACGACCACAGCGCTGCAGTCATATTCATACGGTCCCGTTACCCTGGGCTCAGCCCTAATCACACTATCACAACAGCAGCCAGCAATCTTGCTGCCACTGGAAACGTCAACCCTTACGGAAAGAAAAGGGGTAACTTTGGTTTACTTTGTTTAAAAGCTCTTAATACAGTTTTTGGTTTGCTGAAATCATTGGAGGTTGCAATTGCTTTTCCCCAAGTCACCTTTAACAAACTATTCTGTGTGCTTTAACAAACAGAATTGAAGAGCACTTCCTGGTAAAGGACTCTACCAAGCAATTAGTAGCTTTTGTAGAAGCAAGCTGAAGAGAAGAATCTGAGGCATTTAGCAATTGCAAAGACCTTTATTGTCTGTACACTCCAAGGTCATGATCATTATTCCTATTATATCAGAGGATAGAAGGCAATTCAACAATTACAAGATTAAAAAAAGAAAAAGAAAAAGACATTGTTTCCCTGCCCTATGAGAGCCTGCAAATTCTGTGGTGCTGCCTTTTTGGACGTTCCAGTGACATAACATTGGGAGCTTGATTCAAAAACTGAATAATTGTTCAAGGGCAAGGACATAAAATGGGTAATTGTTCCTGGGAATGGTGTGTGGGGAATGTGAGTGATGAGATTAGACATGGTGTCAATAAGGATTTCAGGGTTGTTGGTGAGTGTAATGTTTGATTTTCCTGTGCTGTAATTGACTGAAATCTTTCTCGTCGTACAATTAAATCATTATTTTATTGCAGAAGCTGTTTCATCATATTAAGAAATGGACAGGCTGCAAGAAGTATGAAGGACAATATAGCTTCTATAGCAGCTGAAGCTTTTAATTCTTTGTGAAAAACTCTGAAAGGCTGTAAACAAAAAGCCCGGGACAAACCTTTAGTTGTAGACTCTGATTCTGACATTTGTTCTGTCTTTTCTTCACCATTAGACTCATCCACCTCTGCTACTGTAGTTAGCTCTGGTTCACTCTTATAAAGTCTATAATCAGGACCCTGCAGAATGACAAGTTTAGGAAGTAAAAAAACTGGAATTTTTATACAAGTATTTGTGTCTTAAGACTCAACATGGTTATTCTGCTGACTTTGCTTTCTCTTTTTAAGCCAATGTTTCATCATTTAAGTGCTGCTGCAGTGGCAAGCCTTTGGAATTAATTTGAGTGACAGCAGTTAGGAGACTTTTTGAAATTACAGAGAGAATTTGCCAGGAAAATGTGAAAGGACAATTTCTTTTAATAATCTTTAGGAATCAAATTGATCTTTAGGAACCATATTTGTACAAGGCTTCTACAAATGTGGATTCCAAGCCTAGAGTTTTAAGAACTTGTGAGAAGATTTTTTTTTTTTCTCAAATTTACTCAGACACAGAACTCATGTCTTTAAGTCTTAAGACATTTTATGCATGACAGAATATGTGACAGGAAAATGTCAAAAGCAAATGATGGAGCTATAAATAAAACTCAATATCCAAAAGTCAAAACATAACAGAGAAGTAGCCAGATGGCAAAAGAAAAAAAAATAGTGACTGTGCAAAGGAAGGGGGAATGCTTTAAGAACAACGTGGCGGTTTAAGCCACTTACACAGTGAGATCCATTTCTCTGATATCCTTGAACTTGGTGAATCTTCCTTTCTTCTGGCAGATGTACTGGGCCCCTGCTATAACAGAGCAAGGAGCTGCTATCACTGGGCAGAGGGGGGATTATGGGAGGATGCTCTGTAAAGTCATAGGACCGAGGGAGTGGAGGACGAGGTGGGACTACTTCCTCTTCCTAAAGATTGTAGAATAGTCACCTTATTTAGACGTGCACACCTGTTACAATTAGTTATAACTTAAAAATAAAAATATATTACCATAACTACACCAGCTTTAGTTTCTGGAATTAAAGGGACAATGTCACACACACTAGAAGAACAAGATGACTTATTTATTATTGCTACTATGCTTGCCTGAAATGCTTCAACTGTTTCACTCTTCAGCTTATTAAGCTTTTGTAGCTCTACCAATTTTACTGTTTGGATGGTAAGGGGCAAGCTCTCTGAATTATCATTTTTTAAATTAAATTCAATATCTATTTAAAGATTTGTTCACACAGATTTCAAAAAGCTTTCCAAGACAGAGGTATATTGTGTATAATTTAGACAAACATGACAATGTCCCTTTAATACTTTAACTTCCAGCCAGATTTTCAGAGGAATTGAACATTTCAGAGCTCCCACAGTTTCAGCTGCTGTTGCGTTGTGCTTAATATATGAATAGACATACAAAGCAATGCATATCTTCCCAAGAAAATTGTGGTGGGGAGAAAACAAATCTAAAAATCAGGGTTATTTTTTTAGAGTAAGAGCCTGGAGAGAGGAAAAGGTGAGAAAAAGAAAAAAAGGAAACATACTGGTGAGAATATAAGGACAAAGAACAAAAGAATGTTTTAGAATTACCCTCTGAGATACTACTTTTTAAAACTAACCATAATACAATATTTTCATGTAAGCATATTGAATATGTATTTCAGACACCCTTAAAATAATATATAAATAATAATGTTCATTTTTAGCATATATATATATATATATTAGAAATTCAGTAATCCTAAAATAATAAAGATGCTAAAATCATACCTCATTTTTATACTTAATAGCTGAAAAGGTCCTTGATCCAATCATTCCTATGTGGTGGCAAGTGGAGTAGGAGAGAAGAAAAAAAATGTTAACAAAAAATAGCTTTTACAACATGTTAGCATACTAATGGTTACACATTGCAACAGGTTACATGTTGCTATCAAATATGCAATACATTAAGTTCATTGATTGTATTCTTGTACTCAGAAACGGTTCCACCAAAGCTTTTTCTAACACTCAAAAGCAAATGTGAAGCTTATCTTTTAAAAATACACACAATCCAATCCCACTCCCAAAGGCATAAAAATGACTAGTTTACCTGCTTCTGAAGAGCTTCTTTGTTGTTTGTGTTTACTCAAGCCCTCCATGACATCCTGAATTCTCCACAGTTCCTTCTGAAGTTGAGCACGCTGTATCCCTGCTGACTCAGTCTGGCAAGTAAAGAGACAGTCTATATGAGCTATAATTTACACTATGTTGGGGTGGGGGGAAGCCTTCTCTTTCTCCAGAAAATATGACATTTCCTTTCCTAGTGAAGGGAAATAAGGTGCCATCGTGACAAGCTGCATTCAAACACTGTCAGAAACATCAACTAGAAGATTAAGTCATTTCTAAAACATGATGTACCAGTTAAATTAACAGCAATTTTTTACCTGAAACTGCACTTAAGAATAGAATTAGGTCTAATCTTTCCATAGAAAACCCAAGCAGGTGTTGTGTAGGAGATGTACAAACCATGCAAGAAAAAGGACTCATCCCTTCCCACCTCAAGAGAGGTGGAGATGAACAGGGTGTTTGCACAGTGGTACACAAACTGGGGACCCATTTGCATTCACAGTCAGTCATAGTTTGGGCTGAAGTGTCTGACGTAAACAAATTTTACAGCTCTTTGGCTTCCTTGTAATTCCCCTTCCATAGATGCATGGAAAACTACCCAGAAAACCTAGAGCAAATGGCCTTTAATGCACATGCTTTTTGTCTGACAAGATCTCCATCGAAACACAGAACTGGTATTAATTGCTCAATGCTCCACAGTAGAGCACAAGCAGTAAGATGATAAAGTAGATATGAAAAGTCCCCCTTTTTCACTTCTACACAATCTTCAATGAGAAGCATTGAAAATTAAAATGACTTAAATATACTTAAGATGAGACCTATGTCACACCTGAATTTCTCCGAGTCGATCAAGTTGCTCCTGCATGTGGGTCCTCGTTACTGTTACATCATACTCTAATTTATCATATTCTCTCCAAGCTCTTTCGAGTTCCTAAGTGCAAAAACAAAAGAAATGCATGTGCTCACTCAACAAAAGCAAACAGACAAAACAAAACAAGGATACACTCTTCATCCAATAGCACAGAATTTCAGGAAGTAATTCATAAACAAACTCCAGCGATATATAAATATATGTTTTAGAGAATGTTATGCTTAAGCAAGTTCATTTTTCAAAAATAATGAAACTAAGCCAAACAATATTCTGTCTTCTTTTACAAGCAAAAAGAGAGGTAAGCGCGAAATTTTACTCAGCCTTTACAGACAGCAGTTATGTGAGTCCTAAGCTTGCCTCCCACAGGGGCAAAGCCCCTCCATAGCAGATGAAAACTTGCTTCTCTCATCTCACATTCCTGTGAGTGCAAAGCATGTGCATGTGTATTCAACATGTGTTATGCAAGGCAAATGTAAGTCATGAAACCCTGCCTGTGAAAGCCCTGGACTTACTAATGTACCATTATTTTACACATGTGAAACTATGAACACCAGATGGGAGGAGGTGCAACAATAAACGTGATCTGGGATCAGCCCTAGCATCTCACTTTTCAAGTCTGCATCAAGCAATTTACCCAAATAAGTATAAATTAAGAAGTTGAGAAGGAAAAGTATGTTTTGTAGTCTCTCCTTACCCTGCTTGCATTTTCCTCAACCAATCTCTTACAACATATCTAAGACTCAGATTGAAAACTGTACTTGAGGGCTGACTTCCCCTCAGTTTCACCACCACAAACCAAAGGAATTTGACACAGAAACATCTTTTGGGTATTGATTTAAGTGGGCAAAGATAATTCTTCGCCTTGTCTTCTCAATGAAATGGGCAGGAAACAGAGACACTCTCCCCCTCATATTTTAAGGTTTTGAAAGTGCATTACTTGAAAGATCTTTGAAGTGCCCTGGCCTGCTACAAAGAGAGACTGTAAGCTTTCCCTCTTTTCATCCTGTAGCTGCTTTCGTTTAAATAAGTTACACAAAATACTGATAAAGCCTATGCTTTTGCCATACTAAAGAACTTATTGGCATTAGTCACTTGCTCTCCAAGCAATTTCTGTATTATAAAGATGAAAATTACCACAGCAGTTAAAGTCAGTATGTGCTCATTCCTGGTAAAGGAAAAACGTATGACAGTCTGTGATGAATGTACTGAAAAGGTTGTTTTCCAGCTGCCTTTGCAAAAATTGCATGCAAGTGCCCGACAAGAGAGGTTTGGGGAAACATAATGAAAAATCACCAAAGACAACCTAATTAAGAACACGAACACAAAGATAATTGCTCAACACTACACTGAGTTTTACTGGCAAAAATGTATTACTTACTGCAGTAGCGCGAGAAACTTCTCGACAGGTGCTAAGCAGTCCATTCTGCAAGTCGTCTCTCTGTAAGACTACATTTTGTATGGCTGCTGGGTTATCTGCATTCATTTCTATCTCCTGACTTGCTGATAGCAAAGCTTGTTCAAGCGTGTACTATTATAATAAAAAGAATTATTTTTAATGTTCTGCATCATTGGGCTGATTTTCATTTTATTTCAGTTATCAGTGTTCTGATTATAAGCATGTAAAATAACATCCACTTTAGGTAATAAATACAATTGTCCTACTTTCTCCTTGTGTAGCTGTTGAAGCTTCTCGTCGAGTGCTTGTACAACTTTATCTTGCTCACATAAACGGCTAAGCTTAGCCTAGAACACAACAGAAAACAATTGCAATTAGGGGTTTGCTTTTCATGTCATCTATAACCAAAACAGAACTTGCTCAAAGCATTACAGAAGACCACATACAATGCTGTTACCACAAAGCATGAATTCCACAATTCTCATTGCATCAGTGTTGCCTTTTCATATTAAACTGAAGAAACCCTCTTAAGATCCCATGAAATAGCTATTACAAATAGCATGACTCACAAGCTCTAATTTATGTCCAAATCTTCTATCTAAATACAATGGAGATTGAAATCAAGCTAAATCTTTACAATTCAATAACTGGTAATGAAGCATTGTTTACTTGATCTATTTATCACTATGGTAAAGAGTATTGCCTAAATTCATAGTCTTTCCTGTGGCTCGCTTCAGATGCTACCCTCTTTTGGTAAAATCCTTCCAGAGGATTAAACAATTTCTTTAGACTTGCAATGCCAGTGAACTTCCATCAACTACTCTTTCACTTTGAGCTGTTACTGATGGTTAAAACATCTGAGCGTCTGATGTTCATGTATTTAGTACATTTTTTATGTACTAAATGTGTATTTAGGACATATTTACAGTAGCTTACACGACTATGACATTTTCTAATTACTCTGTATTTTAGAGTAACACAAAGCTTCAGATTGGAAGGGACCTCAGGAAGCCTCTAGTCCAACTTTCTGCTCCAAGCATACTCAGACTAGGTTTCTCAGGGCTTTTATCCATATTATTCTTGAAAATCTCTAAGGAGGAAGACTGAAAAAAATCTGTTCAATTCTGATTTCATAGGATCCTGTAACACATATACATTAAAACCAAAAAGAGACTTCTATTCCACTGAGACAAATTTTAGTACAAACACAAGAAATCTTCTCTAAGTTATGATGTTTAACTAGAGAATCCTGTGGGAATCAGGACACAATGTTTCCCACATTTCCATAATTAAACAATGTATTTTACTATTAAATCATCTCACATAGGGCTATGATGACAAAATTCAGAGTCACTGACACGATTCATGGCAATGCCATGAGAATGCCATCCAAAGACCATTGGAAGGCGATGAAGTCAGACCAACAAAAAGCATCTGACAAATGCACTTTGATTAGCTTCTGGAGAGTAAGCGCAGCTCCTCAAACGGACTGTCAAGTATAAGAAGAGGCAAAGCTAATTTGCACTCCTATAGACAGCATCCAAGTACATGTAACACTAGCGTTTCAGACAGGATTGATCTAAATATATTTTAGTCTATCCACTGGGTCATACAGTTCTCCTCTGATCTGGTGATATAATCTACCAGAGTGAACCATACCCAAAATATTAACAGAAGAAATAAAAGAAATCTCTAAAAACTAGCAAGGGAAAAGGGCTTTAACTTAAGGATCTATTGAACATCCCTGCAGAAGAACCCTGAGATGCATCAGCCCTACTGATGCTTGGGGTCACTGTGTTCTTATATAGGTATTTACAGCCTAGCTACAAATTTGCACATTTTTTTTGCCATCTTATGGAATACTCAACTTTCTCTCAGTAATATGTGCTTATTTGCTTGTGTAAGCTTAAAATGCAAAAAACCCTACATTTTCTTTAGTAAGTGAATAAGTAAATCAAAGAAATTAAAGACTTTTTTATAAACAGTATTTCATACAAAATGTGAAAAGCGGAGTTTTAACCATTTGATTCTGCTAAAACCATTTAAGACTGGGTACATAAAAGACCTGATGGGATACTCGTGCTACATTTCATGTCCTATGCTATGCTGCCACTCAACAAGTGTCCTGACAACCACCTTTTTATCATACAGACACTAAGCCAATTCTGTTGTTATATGATTTACCTTTTTGAAGCTCTTAAGAAACTGATTTTTGGATCTTTGAATAAAGTTTGCACAACAAGGCAATCCTGGATAAAAGGTACACACAGTTTTTATGTTTTTATATATAATTAGTAGTATGTGTCAAAGTAAGACCTTATGCTCCTCAATTTTACAATGCAATTTCTGTTGGTAACCCCTATATAAAATGTGCTTCAAACCCAAAAGTCAAGGCAGATAAATTATTGTCAAAAGAAAAAGGTAAGTACCAACATTTCCCATAAAAAAGAAATACAAATACTTACATCAATATCCAGCTCTTCAGTTCTATATTTGTATAGTGTACCCCTACATTCCTCTTGTGTTAACTATAAGGAAGAATAACATCGCCATAAAACAACTTAATTGGACTATGAAAAAGACACTTGTGATCAGCTTATAACTTCTAATACAGTAAATACAGTTTTTGCTTGAATATCAGATATCACATTCAGCAATATACTTTTAGCCAAAATATATTAATGAAGACAACAGAAAAACAGTTACATCAGCTAAACCTTAATATAGTCTAGCTATGTTTCTATAACAAACCACAGTTTTATAAGGGCACGGTTTATCTTGTGATAAATCAGACATAGATTACGTAGTAGATGAAATTGCAACCCGAATACACCTGAATGCACTGTTACACATCACTATGTACATTACTGCATGTGCATTCCAAGTACAGGGACTCATTCTACTTGGAATCAGTCATTCTGGGTCCACTAACATCACATGTAACATTACAAGGAGGATATTTTCATGTGAGTGTAAAATCCGAACAAAATGACTTAAGCATGCAGAATGTGCGTAAACTGCATCATTAAATACATACACTCAGTAAGTGCTGCCAAATACTTTTCTAACTGGTTTTTTTCATATGTATTTCCTCCTTCTCCAGAGTTCACAGTCCTACCACAACTGCCATAAATTTGAGTCCATCTGTCCTTTTCTTTGGACCTAGACAAATTTGTCTGCTCATCCCAGTCAGCTGTAAGGTATCTTCGAACTATCTGAAGTTCCTCACATTAAGTTGAGTAAGAACTTGTGTAAAACTGCCAAGCTTCATATTCTATTTAATTAAAAACATGTGTATAATGAGTCCCAGCATGTATGCTTAGCTGTTATGTATATCATGTAATAGGGTTATTGTGGCTTAACAGTACAAGAAACAACTGTAAGAACACAAGTACATGTTAAACAACACTTATAAATAAAATGACTAAGGAAGGGTTAACCAGACAGGCATTCCAAACATACAATAAATCTTCAACACACTTAAGTGTTTCATTTCAAGACATTATGTCCACATACCTCATGCAAATGCACCTGGTGACAATTTAAAAGTATATATAGTGTATTAAAACCACACAGTAACTTCCTTTGAAATGGACACTTAATGAAAATGAGTGTCAAAATATGAAAAAAGCCACAGCACTTTTGCACCTCACGAATGTCATAAATTTTACATTTAAGATATGTATTTAAACTCTTATTGTAGAATTGTGTTTTATAACTGTTGATTTTATCTTAATCTTCATGAGAGAAAGAATGAAGAATGGAAATATTCTTTAAAAAAATACTCATAAACATGGTCAATATAAATTTACCCAAAGCTCTTTTGCTTCTAGAGAAAAACTAGTTACATTTCACAGAAGACAGATTTTACAAGAGAAAGATTATCCACCACTAGACAAATGCATCTTTCCAAGAAATGCTTCAAAATTTTATATGACATGCCAGAAAAGAAAGTGAGCCATTCTCAAGCCAGTAGCTTTTTAGAAAGTGAGCCATTTCTTTTTTTTCAGCAGCTCAACCTTAATTATAGCTGATCTGAAAATAGCTTGTCAATTCAGCAAACATAGCCAAGCTCCTAAATGAATATAAGTATTCTGAAAACCAAAACCCATTTTTCAAAGAACATATGTGTTACCTTTTATTAAAATACTATCATGTTTTTAAAATTGCTGCCATTTTCTTCCTTTTATCAGTACTACTGGTTTACCACAACAGGCACTGCTAGAGAACCACTTCAACATATTTACTCTAATGATTTACAGGCACTTCATACAAAAACTCCAAAACTACATGAAATGCTTAATCTGCCTCTGACAAAGCAGCAGTTTCTCTATGCACTGCACACCTATAAATTGGCTGAAGGCAAAAGGAGTAGCATGCTATCATATTCTGGTAGAATTACAAAAGAAATTGCAGTAGACAAAATGCAATTACACATTACAAGCAAGGTTAACAACCTAATAACCTTGGAAATGCATTATAAGAGCTCCAGTGATCAAGTTAGAGAGCTATTGTCACGCTCAACAAAAGCCTCCTTCACCGAGTTGTTCTTAAAAATACTTCATCAGGCCAATAATTTCGGAGAAAGAGTGCCACCTACTGAACCATCCACAAGGCTCGCTACAGATTTCTACATTTTTCCTTTATTTTTTCCTACTCACATACAAAAGGGAGGTTTTGAAGATCTCCAAAACACCCCTTACCCTCACTCTACTCCCACTCAATAGATATTCAGGGGAATGCATGGCAAGGTCACTTACACTTCGACTTTGTGTGCCTTCTACGTATCAAAATATTGCTTAAAACAAATATTACCAATACTTGAAACAGTTACAACATAATTAAAACAAGAAAAATCAAACAGCAGTACTGTGAAGAGGGCCTACGCTATTTGTTGCCTTTCTGAGATAAACTGATGGCATTCCATTATTTGACGGAATGAGAGAGTTGAATCGAGAAAAATACACCGAAAAGCAGTGGGAGGAGAACAAGACAGAATAAACAGGGAGGTGAAGGCACCAGGGTGCGGTGCTGCTCATGGAGACAAGCATGTTTAGAAAGACCCTGAGGACAGACATCTGGACGGCATTGACAAAAATGACCTAGCTACAAAATAAGGACAGCAACAGCTCTCAAAAACTGTAGATTATGTCCTAAACAAGGAACATGTTTTCCTTCTGATTACATAACTCACTGAGGGGTAATTCTACCTCTTTTCAAAAATATATCACAAAAACATTGAAAACATTTTGGAAAAATATAAAACAAATCAAGAGCATCTCTTGGATAATCAATGTGATTCTGATAAATTTTATCACTCCTAATGTGCCTTTTTTAACCTTAACTCTCAAGGTCTACTCACTCACTCTATCTTCAGGCCTACTTGCCCTGTTTTCCCTCAGGGCTACTCACCCTCTTTACCCTCAGGCCTACTCGACATGTTTTTACCCTCAGGCCTACTCCCTCTGTTTACCCTCAGGCCTACTCTCTGTTTGCTCTCAGGCCTACTCACCCTACTTACTCCCAGGCCTACTCACCCTCTTTACCCTCAGGCCTACTCCCTCCGTTTATTCTCAGGCCTACTCTCCCTGTTTACTCTCAGGGCTACTCGCCCTCTTTACCCTCAGGCCCACTCCCCGTGTTTTCCCTCAGGCCTACTCTCTCTCTTTACTCTCAGGCCTACTCATCCTGTTTACCCTCAGGCCTGCTCCCTCTCTTAACCCACAGGCCTATTACCTCTCTTAACCCACAGGCCCACTCCCACTGTTTACCCTACTCCCCCTCTCTCTTTGTAGCTATTCAGGGGAATACACGGCAATATCACCTGGAGTTTGACTTTGCGTGCTTTTTACATATCACTGTCAATACACTCTCAAGCCACATGAACACAAGTAGCAACTTCAGTACCCCAAAACAGAACTTACCATTCTTGAAAGACAAACTGTACAGAAAGGGTTATTTTTTATCTTGTATGTGAAAAGCCATGGAATTAAGTGTCCTAAATTCAGTCTTCCTCATATGTTGGAAATAATTTCTATTAATATGCCATTTCCCATGATTAAAATACCCACTTTCATATTTTGCAGATCCTCCTTGCATTGGCACATACACAGCTGAATTTAACAATTCATATTTTTAAATTTAATTTCCTAGAAATTAGATGTCAGTAGAGATCCACCAACAGAGGCACAATCTACTTCAAAAGCCAATAACTGAATAATCACAGAAGTATATTAACTCACCACAGTGGACACCTACAGGAAAGTTTCTTCCCAAATAAAGATAAATTAGGCATACCTCTCTCAAGACAAGAGAGGTTAAACTTACTAAATTAGTTAGGTCAGGTTAAGTCAGGTTTCCAAAAGACTTTTTTTGTTTTAAAGGAACTTTTACCACCAAGAAGCAGTACAAATGAGCATTTATCCCACACTAAGCAATTGCTTAGCAGAATTAGAGGTTTTCCTTTTAATTTAGCTGGTTCAATATAGAGACCAAATAGAATGAACCTGCTAACTTTTTTTTTTACATAAAAATTGCATTGTCCACAATGCAACAGATTTATCATTACAAATACCATTTACAAATACCATTTTTACACCAAGTTTTTAATGCATTAAAACAAATACTCAATTAAAGACACAGATCTCCCCCCTTCTTCAAACCTATTCATACGTAGCAGGCACTGAGAGTAAATTTTTGAAACAACAAAATTTCCTTCAGATAAAAAGATAAACACTCTTCATATAAAGAAACAAAACAATCAAACCCAAATTAGAGAAGGGTTCATGCTGCAAAAACTCAGCCTATATTTTTCTTCTTTATACACATATTCTACATAAAGAATCAATGGTCTGGTTTCTGTCTGTACATTTACAGCAGTCTGTAAAAAGACTGGAAGAGGCTGAAGCAATTTAAAGAAGTATTTTAATGCTGTGATTACTTAAATATCACAAACAGAAATATCTTAAATAATGTATTTTGAATAGTAAGCTTTCTATGTTATGAAAGTGCTTATTAATCACAGCAAAGAAACAAGACATTTAAAATTTTAATTAAATATGAGGTTTACACTGAGTCAGTTCTTTTTTTTTTTGCTAAGTAGGACACTACTCATGCTACTGTGCACATTTGAAGAAGAAAACAAGTTCTTCTTGCTTTCCCTTGCTTAACTCTGAATGAGCTAAGTTATAACACTGAACTGTTACAGGTTGTAACACTGAACTGAATAAACTGAAGCAAAGAAAGCTCATTTCTGTTCCTGCAGAGGTAGTAACAGTCATCAGAAATTATTTTATCTAGACACTAAAAGCTGAAAGTGCTTATATAAAGACTTCTTCTATTTTGGATCTTTAAATTTCTTAAAGACATCAAAGAAGAGTGCTAAAAATTTAATTGGACCAAAGTAGGAAGTTATAGTATGTTTAATTTTTTAAATAAGTTGCCACAAATTTAAACAGGTTAATTTTGCATAAGAAGAATTTAGAAGCCAATTTAAGCAGCAAATTGAGCATATTTTCATCCGTCTGAGAAGTCAGTTAATGCAGTACTTCTTACAGGAACTTTCAGCTGTGAAATCGTAAGGTCTTGCTATTTATTCTATGATTTATGCAACGCTGGACAACTTCTGTGCAAGTCTACATAAACGTCACAAAAAATCTCACCTTAAGAGACTGCATCCTCAGTGGTAAACAGGTATTCAATCTCTGTGACCCTTTGGGTTCACCATTTCTGATAAGAACTTTAAAAAAGGCACTAACTCAGCATCAAAGATGAAAGAGCAGGTATGTCTACAAGGTAAAAGCAGTGCTGTGTAGAGACATCTTGTCTGGCAGCATAGCTTTGCCATGATAAAACTCAGATTTCTTCATACTCCTAACTAGCTACGTAGACTAGTCCTGACGCAGCTACATCCAAATGCACCTAAATGAACATTAAAATCTATCTGAGCTACTTTAATCCTTCACATCTAAAGCTGTTTATTTTACATACTTGCTTGTTGTACAACATCTATGTAGAAAACTAAGTAACTTTTAAAACTATTTACAACAGCTAGGCATTTTTAAGAACATTTTTATATACCTAAACCACCCAACAGTATATACTATAGTATATACTTATACATATTATATATATTATATATATACACACTCACTACTATTAGTATACTCAAACAAAAATCTTTAAGTAGGGTTTAAGGACACACTACTACTCCCATTCCACTCCCAAATAGGGCCTTTAGGATTCACATTAAGGCCCCATTTTTGCACCTAAAAGCATAAATCAGGTGCTCCTGAACTAAGTTACTGCAATCATGGCTTCAGCAAAATCTCTTGCAACTCAATTTTCCTCTAACTATGCACCTTTGTGGCTCACAAGATCACCACTGCAGGCTGAGGGAAATGGGTCAGATACTCTTCTGTTCACCAGCCTGACCTGCACACCTCACGAATTGCAAAACATTACGGTCTCTTAAATAACACCACCACTTTTGATGCAGTTATGGTTAGAAACTTCTTGAACATTTTCTGACATGGCAGGAACTACTCAGTTTAATCCTTACTCTTCAGCCCCTAGGACACTGCAGTGCCAACAGGTATGTATTGGCCATGCTCATAAGTTAATGCAGGTCTCAACTCACAGGCAATATTTCCATTCATATTTCCAATTTTTCTGTCTTACCATTTGCAACCATCACTAGATATTCTGTACGTGTGCATTGCCATGTGCATTTTTAAATTTGCTGTGACTTTATTAACAGATACTGCCTTGCGGATTTACAGTCCCCAGATCAAAGTAATTTTGATCCTTTCTTTCTTCGGTGGCTAAAAGGCTCGGTAGGTGCAAACAAAAACTTGTAAATCCACTTCCTAGAATGAAACAAAATTGCCAGAAATGACCAGGTAAACACCACTCACATGCTTTGTAGTCATCAAAATAAAGAAGCACCTTTGAACACTAATTGCATAGGGTCATGCTACGACAAATGTTGGAAGCTCATTGGAAGTTTCATGAATTTACTGGACACCTGCATAAGACATCAGCTAATTAAATAGTCTAGACAGAAAAGGTTATTCAAAAGGGTACACTCAATACTCAACGACAAAAATGCAGCAAAGCCATGCTAACGATATTGCAGCATTTTATAAAGCATGGATGACTCGTGGTTTTCCAAAGCAAATAAGAGAAACATCGATGTTATGAATAAATCTGAGGAACAACCAAAACTGTCACTAAGGAAAATTTTCGCAGATGATAAAGCAATTTCATTCACTATCCAAGACCTTACTTGATGGTACAGTTGCGGTCTTAGCGCCGAGTTCTCAATCATAGTGTGAACCATGGTGATTAAAGGTTCATTCTCTTTCATCTATTTCAAATCAGGAGGAGCATACAGCAAACATCAGTTTACAGCATGGCTAGATTTGAAAGACGACACTGTAAATATAGCCTCTACTTTAATTTTTTTCTAATAATGCAGTAGATTACATTTTATCCCATGCTTTTTTTTAAAGAGATTCTATCATTCAGTAATATTAAACATATGAAAACACATAAAAATACTCAAAACCATCAGAATGGTCACTGACCAAACCTATCCTTTTTTAAAAACAGGAATGCTTAGAGTAAGCCTAGCTTTACAAGACTTTGAAAATAAAAGCAGCATAGGAAATATGTGATAGGGAACACTTAAACCTTTTTCAGAAAGTCTTTTAAAATATAGCTTTAATAACTCAGTGTATATTATAAAGATATAAGCATTCACAGCCTCTGATTATTGAAGCCAGGTTTAGGCATATGTTCCTGTATCACAAAATGCCTTTATATACTGCATTTTTTTTATATACTTAGGAACTTTGAATCATTAGTCTGTATTTAACCCTCCCTCCTCCCATTCCCCAGACTGCTGTAAACTATTTGGTTTACATTTCCAAGCAGGTCAAGCATTTTCTATCATGATTTATATTTATCGCCATGTGTGCAAATATTAAAATAGCTCCTTTGATCATTACAGTAAAAATTGCATACATTTGGCATTTCAGAAACACAAAGCTTAGTGCACAGAGAAAATGGTCTGCGATTCTTCTGTAACAGAGGACAAGGAATACTTAGAAAATTTTAGGAGCCACCAGATGCTGGATTAATATCCATAAAGACCTTTAACCAATCCAGTTTCTGGATGGTCCCCACTCCAGTATTTTTTTCAAGAGTCAATATTTTCCGTATTTTTTTTCTTGAAAAATAGCTTTCTAATCTCTTCAACAATTGCAGTTTCAAATACTACACAGGAAGACAGTATTGTGAACGCTGATGATCTTTCATTCTGTCTATGCATATTCACAAGAATCATGTATAGCCTGGTTTCGCCTCATAGACTAAAATACTACAGAAAGTTCAATTTTTAAGTCCTTCTGGGATTCCTCGCCACACATTCTATTTTTTTTAACCTAACTTGTACATTTGGAAAAGAGTATTTTATTTCTCCAATGAGAAACATGTTATTTTGCTGTTGTAGATATAGTTCTTTTTTGTTGTTGTTGTTGTTTTTTATACACAGAGAAGTCTGATCAGATGAAAAGTTAATCATTTGAGAAAGACTATCATATTTTAAGAGAGTAAGCTTACAAAAACGTTTATGTAAGGTAAAAACAAACAACAAAAAATACCCACAAAAATAACTCTAAGGCTGATATATTTTTTTAGGAATATGCTGATTCAGAAACATTTTCTTTATTAGAAGAATTTCAAAGGCTTCATGCTCTCTTGCTAATTCTCTCTTTTCTTTTTTTTAAACAATATTTCAAATTATTTCTTTCTGACTTACTGCTTAAAGGTTCTTTTTTCCCGACTGGAAAGAAAACAAACTGCATTCTCTCAGGATTTGTTCTGAAACAGACTTTTGTCCTCTGCCTGGATCCAGGTTGGCAGTATAGGACGTTCTCCCACACCTTTACCATTGGCACTTAAACCATGCTTATTCAACGCTGCCTGCAAAGGACAGTTATCCAGTTATTTCTACCAAAATTCCAGTTTCTTAAGCCCTTATGGGGCAAACAGTGAGACACAGATTATTGCTAAAGCAATGCCAACCAAAGAGACATTGCAACCATCACAAATATTGAGGATTTCTCCCCTTAGGAAATTAACTTTTTCAAGTACTGTCTAGCAGACTTTTTGATGACTAAAGCTAGTGTACCCACAAGGTGGCATGTCCTGAAGAAGTGGCAGATTAAAATAGAACCATGATGGTTATATATGTTTGAAACGTAAGGGAATATATGTAGTTTGTGCTGTTACATAATTACCACGAGACCTCTCCCCAGACTGAAGGTGGGTGCTATTCAATTTGATCAATGCTTTCACTAGCTAGAGTAAGAAGAACAGAGAAACATGGCTCAATTTTTCTGTCACTTCAGAAAAGCTATTATTTATTTTTTGGAGAGGATTTTAAAGGTTTTATTTATTGTGCAGCAATCTACGACACAACTAAACAGTAAGGCATTCATAGCATATCTCTAATTGAAAAGGTTACAAAAATCTCCACAAATGTGAGTTATTCTCTACATGTAAGCAAACTGAAGGGTGAACTGCCTCCTGACACAAAACAATGCGGCAATAAAACCAAACAGCATCCATCCCTCTTGGTTCATATCCCTTTCTACTTCTAGCAAATTACTGCTCTGTCCTCAAAAGCAATCCTCTGGCTTGGCTTTTATCCTCGTTGATGTAGCACATAAAAGCATTTTCTAGATAAAAACAACAAAAATGGGATCTCTTCAACAGATGTATACGAACAGCTACACTGTGTTTACAAGTCAGCATCTGGGCACATTGCGTTTTGGACGGGAAAGCCAAGCTATTGGGAGCTCTTTCCTATGTTTTCCTGAATTCTTTTTCGTGCTCAGTAACATCCTGTAGACACAACACTTGAGCACATACTGTCCTGGTGGGAATGATCAGCTGGACTAGCGGCTCCCTACAGGAAACTTGACTTCTCTGGAGAGGTAAGTCCACATGTCATGGTTGGCATAAGGCTGAGCTCAGACACTCACTTCTATTCATTTCCTCACAGCTTCTTGAAGGTGTAAGCAGTGGCAACAGGACCAGACCAAGCCTTTCACCTGCCTGTCCTCTGCCCAAAACAAAGAAGGAAAAAGCGCTTTTCCTTCCTGCCTTCTCTTCACAGCAATACTGGCCCTCCAGCACAGTCATCTTTCACCTTCACAGCCCCAGCTCTTGAGCCTCTCTGCTTCCTCTGCTGAAGGAAAAAGCAAAAGGGAGCAGAAAGAAGAGCAGAGATGGCTGGGTGGTTCCTGCTCTCTCTTCCAAATAACCTGGCAAATACAAGGAAAAGTAATATTCCATATGTTGCTAATACAGGACACAAAATTTTAGGCTGAAGTACAAGAAATTCTCTGTAACACAAGATGCCTGCCAACTCTTTCCAGTCCCCTTTGGACTACTCCAGCTTCCTCTCCTTTGCTACCTTTTCCTAGAACCACCTTCAGCATCTCAGAGAGAGAGAGAGTGGTGAAAAAAGAGAAAACCGGACCAAAGCAGGGAGTGCACGGACCCTGGCTGGGGGACCTTTGCTCCTTTTTTTGACTGCAACTTGTTCAAGTTCTACCCACTTTTAAGTACCGTCCTAAAAAATCAAAGGAAGTACCAAGTACAAGCACTAGCTGAAGTGGGATAAGTGCATGAAGGACTCTATAAAATGGCTGTTGATATGAAAGGCAAGTAAATATATAAATAAAAAGACTAAAAAAATCCTAAAAATTCAGCAGCACTTATACTATGTCAAATCAACCTGCAAAATACTAAAATCACTATGATAGCAAGCACAGAGAATTTTACATAAATAGCTTGAGCTCAGGAAAGGGGTTTTCAGTCACAAGCAAGTTTACCATCAACGTGAAGTTCAGAAGAGCGCTCAAAGACGAGTTGGCTGGAACTCTCTGTAGTAACAGCACACAGACATTCACATAGGACCTCTTGTCATGGCTTTACTTACAATGGAGGAAAAATAAAGTATGTGCTAAAACCTGAAACTTATTTGAAAAATCTTAGGTTCCTGTTTCTGCTTATTTTTACTTTAATTACTGTGTGCAAATGCATTCAAAAAGTACAGATAGGAGACTGCTGGCTTGGATTTAGTAGTCCACATAAGTGAACCCATAAAACTTTATAATACAGGAGACTGGGATTATATTTAGCAAACGCACCCTCAAGCAAGTTTGCAGATGATATAAAATTGGGAGGAGAGGCTGATGCACCAGGTGGTTGGGCTGCCATTGAGAGAGACCTCAAGAGGCTGGAGAACGGGGCTCACAGGAGCCTCACGCAGCTGGGCAGAGGGAACTGCTGGGTCCTGCACCCCGGGAGGAGCCGCTCCGTGCGCCAGGGAGCCGACAAGCTGGGCCTGGGGCTCCTGCTGGACGAGCTGACCACCACGATGGCTTCCAGGGCACACTAGGCAGAGCGTTGGCTGCAGGTTGTGGGAGGTGACTGATCCCTCCACCCTGCTCCGCACAGGTGAAGCTGCACCTGGAGAGCTGGGTCCACTGCTTGGCTTCCCAGTGTGAGAGAGACCAGTGAGAGGCTTCTAAAATGATTAAGGGATTGGAGCAATTGAAGAGCAGATGAGAGATCTGAGACTGTTCAGCCTGGTGAAGAGAAGGCTCAGGGATGGCCGGCCTTACCAGTGTTCATAAGTATCTGACTGGAGGTTGTACAAATGACAGGCCAGACTCTTTGTGGGGCCCAGGGACAGGACAAAAGGCAATGGGCACAGAGTGAAACACAGGAAATTCCTTCTACCTGAACTTGTGAAAACTCTTCCTCGCTGTGAGGGCAGTGGAACTCTGGAAGGGGTCTCCAAAGAGGCTGTGGAATTTACAAGCTAGAAAACATGTAAAACACCTGGCTATGATCCTGAGCTGCTTGGTCGAGTTGACCCTGCCACAGCACGAGGTTGGGCTGGACCATCTCTAGAGATGCCTCCCAGCCCCAACTATTCTGCAAGTCTTCTTTTTGGTCAACACGCCCTATGTTGACCAAGAAATAGTCATCACCCGGGGTTGCTACTTGTTTTCAAAAAGCCATTTCCCACAAGGCAAACAAATCTCTCTGCAGTATCTCAGAAACAAGAGCCAGAATGGTTCACAGCTCCCTTTAAAAGAAGGTTGTTGGACTAAAGTTCTTTCAAAAGTATATGGCTAGAGACATGTGTGTCAGCCTCTTCAGTCTCCTCTGCCCTATCTCTGAACTCCAACAACAACAACAAAAAGTCTGAAAGCGTAATAGAGAATTTGTGAAAGTGTAATATAAGAATTTGTAAGCATCTCAACGAAAATAACTGTAAAAAAGAAAGTATAGTTTTTAAAAAAGATACAGGATATTCTTCAGTTTTGCTAAAAGCATCCAACTAGTAGAAAGCACCTTACAACAACACTACACATACACTTTTGCCAGTCTTAAAATTCAGATTGGAACATTGCAACCTTGCTAAAAATGGACCTATGTAACCCTGTAAAAACTGTCTTGTTACTGTTATGCACAGTACTGAATTCTTTGTGAAGGGTTAAAGATAACAGGGCATGAGCTCCACCACATGCTCTATGGATCATGAGTGGAAGTACCTAATTTAAGCATACTGGGCATATAACATTCAATGAAGGTTATGTAAGTTGATCAGAGATGCTTATAACAATGAGGCTCAACCTCAGTTAGCCTAGAAGAAACCTACAACTTTGAATTCCTAAAATAAATTAAGATTGATAACGGATATACTAATGAAGGAAAATCAATACAATAACTACCCCTAGAAGCAGTGGTATTCAAAGCAAATTAAAGACTCTAGGGGCATTTATTCGGTGCATGTGAAAGTCTTAGAATATAGCAAATAGAAAAAAAACAGACAAACTGGGAAAATTCCAATACTCTTTTCCATGCTTTTATGGTTAAGGAAAAACATTTTAGACTTGAAAATGATTTCTTCCAGTAAAAACTGTAGTAATTTCTTGCACCTTTGGTGGAGGTGATTATGACAATCTTATAAGATTTGTGCATTTCCCTAAAGTAGTATAAACTTATCTGATCACATTTAGAAATTATAACAGCTGCAAGAAAAGCAGAAGTCCTTTTTACCACCTCACATACGATAGAAGCCATTCCTCTACTTAATGCTGAACATCATGCTAACAGGCTTGGCTGACCAAGCACCAGCATGCTACACAGTTTAAATAATTTCATGGGTACATTTGTTGTTCCCTCCCTGCAATAAAATACATTGTTGAAGACAAAATTATTCCCCCATTCCAAAACATTATAAACTAAAAACTGTTGATTCGTATCATATATTCTGGTCTAAAATAAAGATCAGGGAGATGCATTTTTCCCCACGGTTTTTGAACCTCCTGCAATCTGCTAAACAAGACAAAGAAGTTTCAGAATGTAACATCACTTAACTACATTGTCACAATTTACATCTTGCTTCCAAGTGACTACAGAAAGTCACTGGAACCAAGATTTATTTTTAAAAATTAATTCCTTGAAACCCTTCCTATCATTGTAATATGTAGGCCATAAAAATTCTAAAAAGTAGTGGTTCTGAGCGTAATGCCGAAAAGTTCAATTAGGAAAGACAGTTTTCAAAAAGTTTAAGTGATTCTTCATATTGGTAACTCACAGATACTGACTTGATATTTCTTTAAGCAGTTGTTTATTTCCTGTATGTACTATCAAAAATTTTCCATTTAAAACTTTTCTCATACTCAGCTTGCTCCCAAGTCCCATTTGATCATGCAATGAAGCCATGAAAAGCTGCCTGTGATAACATAATTACTCCCTTGGCAACAAATTACAAATTATGCTGCCAAGGACAGAATTACAGCCTAACTCTAAAATAATCAGAAGTTATGAAGAAGTAAAGTCTAAATATTTAACAAATAGCTGAGTAAATGGAAAAAAAGTAATTACTCTTGCTATGAATTTTTAAAAACATATTTTTTTTCATGATCTCTCATTCATTTTATGCTCCGTAGAAATACCTAACTCTTCTTCATTCAGAACACTGAAGCTATCAGAAGTACTTGTTATCTATAAATTGGATGTGTGCCACATTAGTTTGGAAATATGTTATGATTTTGGTTAGGTTAGAGGTAAGAAAATGCTACAGGAATTTTAGTTGATTTATTATAGGAAAGACATGAAGAACAGAAAAAATAACTGGAGAATCGCTACTGTATTCTGACAGAACCTTTAAGTTCAGTTTGTATTTTCCATTACATGTCAAATTTGCAACAAATTAAGATATTTTATGCCATTTAAAAAGCCATGTATTAAATATACAAACCCATCCCCCCAAATATTCATAGTTTAAAAGAAGCAAAAAGCATTAGGAGACATAAATATATAAAAAAAAGTTGCAAATCCCACCTGATGATCCAAATATATGGCATTCCTTTGAAGGTGATGTGAAAGAATCTCATTCTAGCAGGCAGCAGTCAGAAGAAAAAAGAAGGACAGAAGGTGCAGAATGCATGAAAAGAGTTTTAAAAGATGTAAACTAGACAGTGATGCTTCAGTTTCACTAGGAAACATAATTCTACTTTCCCCTGTTTTTTTTTCTTGTGAATTTCTAACATGTTTTGACACTGAAACAGAAATGATGATGAAAGTTTGCCATGAACCATACTATACACTATTACTTTGGATTTTGGTTTTACACATAGAATACAGTATATTCATTTGGAATTTCTATACATGGCTACACAGACAACTATAAACCCTTTGATAAATCGGTGTTTTAATCAGGTCCTAACTTTTGCCCACAGATTACAATTTCATCTGATAAGAGGTAATATTCACGAAGTGTTAAGTTTGTTATTTACCACTACTATCATTTAGAGCAAAAACAGGTTAAGCCTGTAACTGTACTTAAAACCCAATAAGGGCAACACACCCTGGAGTGTTCCTACTTCCTGAAGCTAAAGACTCAAAGGGTTAATAGCAGAACATCCCCTCACGCAGGAGGCCACCACGTTACTCCATCCACCCCCACAGGCCTTCCGCACCAATGGTACAATGCAAACGTTTGATTAAGGAATGACTAAGGGGTTAGTGAGAAGGGTACCCGACACACGTTGCTTTATAGCTGACCTTTGGGCTGCTGGCCTCAAGTTTTAGCTGCATGAGCTGTGCTAGTGTGTGTTCCCGGATACTACTCAGTTCGGCTTGCTGCCGTCTCAGCTTTATGAGCAGCAGCGTGAGCTCCTCTGGCTGCGGGGGTGCAGTGTGCGAAGCCAAAGAGTGGGAGAAAAGGTTAATCGGGATCCCAGGCAACACGTGATCAACATCTTAGCATCTTCCCCCGGCACAGAAGCTGCTTATCGCGAGACACCAAAAGATGCAGCGGTTTTCCCCCCCGAATGACTGTTTTTTAAAATATATAACAAAGGCTTAAGCTTTAACTACTCAAAACACATGATACTGTAAAATGCCATAAAGGGTGGAATATTCTGTGCAAAGGAAAAAAGATAAAAAGGTTGGATTTTGCAGGAGAAAAATCTGTGCAGTCTTTAAAACGGACTTCTTCTGGCACATGTATCAAATTGATTGACTTAAGCAAAGGCAGAGATATTCCAACCTTTAAGATATCATTATCTGTACAAGGGCTACTACTAGCAGTTGGAAGAATCTGAAAACACCCCCAAAGTAAATGTAGACTTCTAAAGCACTGAGGAAAAAAAAAAAAACAAGAAAAGAAAAAAAAAAAAAGAAAAGAAAAAAGCAACAAAAAGCACCTGCATCACAAACAAGCACCTTTCACATCAGAAAATAGCACAAGCGTGACAAAATCCTTTTCAGTCTCTCCTTCCACAAGCTTGAAGGTAAAAGTCAATTTAGGATGCACTTCTATGACTTGAAAAGGTAGTGGTATTTAAAGCCCATGCTTATTTAAATAAAAAGTCACGGTCAAATGCGGATTTCCTAGGTAATTCCACAAAGAAGGGTTCAGGTCAATTTGGAAAAATCTGCAAGAATTTTCTATGGGACCTACTTCTATTAGGGACACTTCTAAGGAAAGAAGAGACCATTAATATCACAAGTATTGTTGTTATGTTCCTTGTTTGCCTCTGTTTCTTACACTTCCCCAGAAGTGAATCTTGTAAGAGGTTAAATATTCACCCAGCAGTTTCATTTACTGCCACAATTAGCAAGCTCTGTGTGTTAAAACAGAAAAAATCACCCCAGCTTGTTCTCCACCAGAATTTCCCCAAAGCAAAAAAGTAAAGAAGAAAACCCCCAGAGAGCAAGAATGTTACTGAAAAACAAATCTCAATTATTGATATAAAAATGTATCTGAGAATGAGCACAGCACTGGCACTACCATGAGCTTCTATCAAAGTAGCCCACAAGAGGGAGCAAGGGATTTCCACACAGATTCAGCTGTCAAAAACCATTTGTTTTGATGGAAATTGAACACCAAGGCCGAGGCATCTAATGGGCAATCTTGTTTTATTACTCTTTCAGCATCTTGGCTTCAAATTTGTAATTTCAGAATGAATAAGCATTTGGATTGCCATGCACTACACGATCAAGTTATCTCCCAAAGGAAGGACCAAGGTTTTCAGTATGAAAACTGGTCTCATCTCAAAGCACAACAAAGCTGATTTATAACAACTGTGAAAAGCAGACTTGAACAAAAGGAATATTGAATCATACTGCATTTCAAGATCAAAATTTTTCCTAGTATGTCCTGCAACTATCTGATTTTCGTGCATTAGCAGTACATTTGTAACGGTATTTCAATAAAACGTTTGCAAGATTTTTTTTTCTCCACGGGGAAGCCAACTGAACAGTAATTCCTGCTCTTCTCTAGACATGGATAACTTGCAAACCTTTGTGACGAGGCTGCAGGTGTTGTGCTTTTAGTCTGATCCTAGGAACTGCTGCAGGTAACAAGAGCTACCTGCAGGTTTCCAAACCTCTTGCTGCTCCAAGGCCCACGCTGGTGGCCAGGCTACTGGTATCCAAAGCCTGCAGCCTCCCTGTTCCTCTCACCAGCACCTCAACCCAAGGAGGCTACTGGGCCACAAGCCCCACGAAGCACCAGGAGGGGCCGGCGGCTACAGGTCATCCCAGAAGATGAGGAAATTGCCAGAGATTCATGCTGGGAAGTGCAAGAAACAGCGGTCTTGGCAGTGGAAGGATTAAGTGTGGAGCTGGTAGCCACAATAAAATCCTAAATCTGTGCTTTTAAATCTTAATTGTCAGTTATCTAAGTTGGGTAGAAAAAAATTACAGAAACAAGATAAAAACTATTTAAAAATCTAATAAACTTAGGCTGATGCCTTTGTGTTTGTCAAGTCATACTCCAGCTAGCGAGCCTAACAATGTTCACACCAGGATTACTTTGATGAAATACCCTCAGAGTTTTCATTCTATCACAGACAAATGGGAGATGCCATAAGGAACATTATTTTTCCGAATGATGTTATAGCAGCCTCATTCAAAAAATAAGAAGTTTACTTTTAGGATTTTCTTTTTAAATCTATTAGAGAAATAATAATGTTGTTCTTGATTCCGCCCTTCCCTTTGGAACCTTTGCAATGTCTTAAAACTGATTACACCAGTTCATCTTTCTGGAAGAAAATCTGAACTTAGTGACTCAGTGGCCACAAAATATTCACAGAATTAATGTAACCAAATAATATCTCCCAACTTGCTTTTAAAAACTCTGCTAATTAACATAAAGACTGTATTTAATGATAGCTCTGAAAAGAGTGCTTCAGTGCTGCAAATTTACATTTAAGAAACTGTTCTTAAAAGAAAGAAAGAAAACATTTTATTTGGATGCACCAAATAAAAATGCAACTCACTGTTTTGCCTTGGAGGCTCTGAGGAGTAATAGGCTGCAAACTCAGAGCTGCTGGCATTGACCTTCTGTCAGGCACAAAGACATGCTGTATAAAAACAAAATTGCACAGTATGAGCCATAGTTATTTAAAGAACCAACGACTGTTACATATTTAAAAAAAAAAAGTCAGTTTTCTTGTCATGACAAATTTCTTCTGATTTGTGATGGCTTTGATTCATCATGTTCTCTGCTGATGTACTAGCCTGGACACTCATCTTGACCTCTACATTTTAGAATATCAGGATAATCTCATAATGAGATACCCCTACTCATAAGCATCTGAAAAGGACAATTTTAGTTTTTAAACTAGCACTGAAAACCACTTGAGAAAAACACTGAAAACCACCTCTTCACAGATGAGATGGCTTCCAGTGTCCAACAGAGCTAGTGTTTGTAAATGGTCAGTCTCCTGCTACCCACTTCTCAGCAAAGGGTTTGGGTTTTTAAGAGGAAAGGCTAACTGTAGGACTGAGAAAGAGTAAAGAGTGTAAACAACCGAAGAAAGTGTGGCGTAAGAAAAAATACATATTTAATATGTACACACACACACATCAGAAAACAAAACATGGCTGAAAAACTTTCAAAACGAAAGTTCATAAAAAATTGTAAGATTTTTAAACTGCTTTAAGATGCAGCTTGAAATCTAATTTATGTTTGGAGATTCAACCATAATAAGGACACCTGAGCTAAAGATTAAAGAAACAGCCTCATGAAACTTAGAAGCATTTTATAGAGCTGATTCTAGAAAATCTATTGGTTTAGATCCAATTTAGAGGATACAAAGGAGTGAGATGTCTGCAATTCCCAAGTTACACTGAAAAATACATTTACTGTGTCCTTTTCTCCCTTTAAGAGAAATGGAAAGGGCATGGGCAACAATATTAGGACATCTTTTCATCAAACAAATGAGGGAAATTGCACGATTTTTTTTTTAAGCAAGACTTTCGCCATGAAAACATCATGATGTAATTTAATCTACATTGTAATGAAATATACTATAGTGGAACACGTAAGTTTTACAGAAATCAGACACTTTTTGCTAAAAATACATACAATTTCTTTTTTTTCTTTAATATTAAAACAGATATTTTACCTTAGCATGATGCGTCCTGTGCCTGCGATCAATAGTTACATCTCCCCTTTGCACCGGCGAAGACACTTCTGATCGATAGGTCCGCTGTGGGGAATATCCTTGGAAACCAGCTATTGAACCATGAGAAGGTGAGGTGGGAATCGAATGCATAGCCTGATCAGAAATATTAATCATAGTTTTGGGGCTACTTAACGTACTGTGTCTCGTAAGAGTCGTTTGCTTATTGTAAAACTGGCGCTGCTGCCACTCGTAGAGCTGCCACATCGTGTCGTCGCGCAGGGACCTGCGCTTGTCCTCGGCGGCGCCGGGCGCCGGGGCGGCCGCGCGCTCGTAGGCCACGGCCGCGGGGCCCGCCGCGCTGCACACGCTGTCGGGCCGCGCTTTGCTGTTCCTGGGCAGCGTCCGGTAGCCTTCCGGGTAGCGCGGCAGCACCTGGGCGCGGTGGCTCGGCATGTTCCTGGGCAGCGTCTGGTACGAGATGATGCTGGAACACAGAGGTTGCCTCTGATTAGGCGGCGGCGTTAGTACGGAAATAGGAAGCTACTCAATGACTGCTTGGTCCGTCCGTCCGTCCGTCCATCCATCCATCCACCCACCCCTCTCTATCTTTCTTTGGAAGACCCCAAGGTTCATTTTAAAAATGCACCCGCTAAAAAGGCAATTAGATAATCAACTAAACAATCAAATGCATTATAAGTAGCTGAAATCAGATCCTATCTCGTCCGACTACCCACTTGACAGCCTTTTCTGTATTTCGTCTTTCCATCAGCGTAACAGTGCAGTGTGAATTCCAGATCAAATCTTGTGCCTATGGCTGGCTAGACTGAAGTTTTGAAAGTTTAGAAATTCTTTACTGTTCCCAACAGGAGCAGATACTAAATGTTTTCTTGCTTCAAAGTGGAAAATGTCTCCTATTATTTCTTTTAGAAAATCTTAAGCCATTACTATGCACATCAAATAGTTATGTATTTGTAACAGCAGGCCAAGGAAAACGAGCAATTATTCTTCAGTAAAATTATATTGTTCAACCACTAGTGACAAGCCAGTTCATATCAGCTATTCGAATGAAATAAAGAACAAAGCGTTTCTTTGCATGATATTTTGGATGATTTTCAAATAAAGCATTTCAAGCCTTATGAGCTGATCTGCTGTCATATCAAATCCCTACACGTTAGAGTCATTTAGCAACTTCTAGGCAGCAGCATTAGTTGAGGTGCACTATTTTCCAGAGCGAAATATGAACGTGCACTTAAGTATTTCTTGCCTTTTCAGAGGTAAGGAGATAGCTCAGAGACACTGCCTCATTCAGCCACCTTGATGAGTGTCACCTATCGCCTTTCGCTATGGGACCCAGGGTGGACGCTTTCCAGAGGGAGGAAGAAGAAAAAGCTCGTCTCAAACTGGACTTCATCTCAACCTGGGCTTCATCTCAAACGGATTCAGCCATTAGAGGGCAGCAATTTCCAGCTGCACCTTGATCAGCCTCATTGCAGCTGTGGCCCTAGACCTGCAGGGCATGGGGAGCTGAAGGCAGCTCAACCAGGGAATGACTTCAGCGCCAGAGGACTTGAGAGGAGTGACCCAGGGCAAAGGCAGGGTAAGGCAGAACTACCTGTGCTGGATTCTAGGCCAGAACTAGTAAGGAAACGAGGGCAGAACCTACCTTCCACTGGAAAGAGCGAGTTAAGCTGCGTATTTATGACCGCTTGGAACATTCTGCAGATGAAAGTTGCTACAGAGCTTTACCAACATGCAATCTGACTACAGTTTCTGAGGCTTTCCTTGAATTAATGAAGTACTATCCCCATTCTATAGACTGGGCAAACTTGCTACTTTCGCTGAAAATTTGCATTTTTGGGCTTCGAATCACCAAGAAGTCTGTGACCAAAAACAAGGAAATAGATTCTTCATCCTGTTCCATCACTAAAATCTGCTTAAATAACTCTATATTTCTTCATGTCATTAACTATAAGACCTTACTAATGTTAATTATGATAATAAAATATATATTACATAATGTATTAATTATGTATTTTATAATATTAATATATCCCATATAATATATATAATTACAGATAAGTGTTTATAAGCATGTTATGATAATTATTCATAATCGATGGCAATTATCATTACATAAGGCTTTCTTTCTATCTCCTTATTTAAAAATCAAACCACCAAGATGCTCTGGGGTTCAATTCCTGACTTTCAAAATACTATTTTATCTACTAGAAATGACTTTGCTGCAGTTTGAGGTTTTCATGAAGAAATCCAGTAGTTCGAAGCTTCTCTCACTGAAGCTCCTCCCCCATTTTATTAATTAATACTCTAATCCTGTTGCCTTTTTAAAAAGTCCTGGGCAACTTAAAGGAACGCTGTGAGAGGCTTCCAATACACAGAGAGGAATTTAAATTCTCCTTGCAATTCCTCATGTTCAAGAGCATTTATGAAGCTGTTTCCATCTTTTAGACTATGAAAACTGTAGAAGGCCAAGAACATGAATATTTTACATCATCTGATAGAAGATTCCCCAACAGCCTGTTGATATTGTATAGTTTATTCTCATTGAATCCTCCTAAAAAACACAACTCTTCGACAGCGTTACAGCTTCTGACTGCAGAAAGGACAGTGCCACCATGACGCAGAGCACCCCAGGCTGCAAAGCATTTAGCGAATGCACTCGGCCTTGTGCAACTGCCCCAAATGTCTCATGTGTCCCAGAGCACTAAGGGGGGCCACTCTGTGTGCAGATATCTCCCCGTCACCCACTGACGCCAGCCTGCTCAGCAGCACAAGGCCAATACAGAGGGGTGCTGCATTTTGCAAGGCTCCCCTTGCTCGCGCGGCTCTTGCAAAACTGGATGTCTCTCTCCACAGAAGCAGCAGATAGCAGCTTCAAAAATTAAAATACCTGTTGCTATCGTTAATTTCTGAGGCAGTTGCAAAGTTGCTAAGAGGTCAGCCTGTTCCTCTAAACGAACAGCACCTTTTCCATAAATCTTTTTCACTCCATCCTGAGCAGCAGCTACTTCATGAATACTTATTTAACTAAGACTCTGTCTTTTCACATTGCAGTACACCTAGAAGTCCTAATCTTCTCTTTTTTTTCAGTCTCTCACATCACCAGGATCCCATCTGGTCCCCGAGGATTCCCCTCACACAGCCGGAGCCTGAGAGCGCAGTTTTGGAAAGCAGCCTTGGGGCAGCAAGCAAGGACTGCCTTCCTCAAAAACAGAATTCTGGAATTCAACAGCCCTTATGAAAACTATCTTGCCACTTTCCCTCCAAACCTTAAGCTTAAGCTTTAAGCTACGCTTAATCTGGAGCTTCTTTCTACTCTCTGTCACCGAGTTCAATTCTACTTAAATTTCTGTCTCCAGCCTTAATCTGGCCATCCAAACCAAGCCAAAATTTAAAATTTAAATGAAGCCACCTTTTAGAGACTACTACACACTAGAAATTCTTTTAATTCTCCAATGCAACCTCCACACATCAACGTGTGGAGGATGCTATAAAGACAATTTCTCTTTTTCTTTGGCAGTTTTATATGGAATTGAAGATCTAAGAATACTTCTTGTGCAATCCATGCCATTCATAGTTCAATCATAAACACCAAAGAACAAAATACTTCTGAGAAGTAATATATTCTTAATAGCACTTCCAATTCTCATAGTAAAATCAGTGTGTTTCAAAATACAGCCAATGCAAAGTCATGGTAAGAACCATCACGAATAAGAGGGATAAAGACCTAAGGTTTTAATGTGCACAGTCGCAAACCTGCAGAGCTATTCACATCTCCAGTGTGCGGATGCACTTTTCACAGCCCAATTTAGATTACCTAATTGCATGAAAGAGCTTTCTCCGTTCTCGTTACCCAACGCACACAATAAACACACGTCCGAGCGCGGAAGCCGCTTGCTGTAGCGCAAACACAAACCTGATCAAACTATCCGCTTGACGCAACAACACTTTAACAAGCCCTAATTATATTTAATGAAGGAGTAAAGGCAAGGGGAAAACTTTCAACAAATTTTGGCAAGCTTAAGGCAGAATAATGGAAATTACCTCAGCTTTGCCAAGAAACAAAATAAACACCAAGCCTGTAATTTAGTATTTCGGGAAAACAGCTCTTCTGAACTTGAGTAGATCTTAATCTCGGCTCTATCGATCACCTCCAAGTGAAGGCCTTAGATGTCAACTTTCACAGCATCTCCTGTGATACCATCCCCATCGCTTCTAACTAATGAAATCAGCTTTTGTACATGACCAGTAGAGCTGCCTGTCCGTAAGCCTGGCAGAAAGCAACGTCCCTACACTTCTGTCAAACAGAAGAAGTGCTACAGGCATTAGATTAAATGCTGCCAATCACTCACACACCATTTTAAATCTTCATAAATAAGCACGGGAACTTAATATTAGAACTGGGAGATGTTTTCTTCCAGCAGGAAAAAAAAAGCTTTAAGCATCAAGTTAGATAGAAACTTAAATAATTTATTATTTACTCTAAGGTAAAGATTCTCTCCTTCTTCTACTAAGCTTGTTTAAGTGTTAAAAGCTGCCTAGAATATATTTTGAAGAATTTTACATGAAATTTTATTATAAGACCTCATAAGTAAAACAAAGAGATAGAGCAATTTCAAGAACAAATTTTAGGAGGAAAAGAAATTTTATGATTGATGACACCTTCACTCTGCTAAGATAGAGAAATTTTTAGCATCTGAAAGGGATTCTATTTATTCATTAAGTAACTAACAACTTAAAGCTTCCTAATAATCACTGAGTGCTAATAAAATAGGAAACTAATGGAACTTCTCTGAGTAAGCATCCTGGTAATTCTTACAAGGAGTAATGAACTATGTATTTACAGGACAAAGACTGATAATACATAAAGGAGCGAGCCGGGATACAAGTGGAAATGCTCTTTAGTAGAAACCCCAGCTACAAAAATGAATAGAGAAGTAAAACAGTCCTTACCCTCTTGTTTCCTCTTCTTGCCCTTTCCCTCTCTGTATCTTGATCCACTGCTCCAGCTGCAGCATGGAATTGGTTCTCTGCATGACCCGCTCGGAGTCGGCGTACGAGGGGGCTGCGCCGTGCGGGGCTCCGTCGCCGGCCTCCGCCAGGGCCCCCCCAGCAGCTCTGGCCTCAGAGCCGTTCAGGTGCACGGGCCTGAAGGGCCCGGCCTGGCCGGCGCCGGCGGGCAAGGTCCTGTATTCCGACCCCAAAGGATGCAGCTTGACGCTGTTGATCTTCGTCAGCGGTTTGTCTTGCCCGACTTTCTGGAATCCGTATTTCTCAGCTTCCAGAGCTTTCTTCTCCTCGTGTTTGTTCACTTCTTTGTTTTTCTGGTTATTTGGCATCTCTGGCTTAATTAGCACCCGGTGGTTGGAAATGTTATTTGTTTCTCGAGGTGGTGTGTTTTCAGTGGTTAGCTTCTCTACTCTAGAAAGGAACATATGACAAGCTGTAACATCAACAAAACACACGTAGAGAAAAATAAAGCGAATCCCTTGGTGATTTCAGGGTTGTTTTGGGCTCAAATGCTCTGCGAGATAAATCCTGGGCACATTTGCACAACAATCAACATCAATTTTTTTGTTAAGCTTCTCTATTTCTTCACTATATTGAAAGTTAGGAGAAATTTTTCAAGCTAGCTCCAATTATCCTCCTTCAGTAAGAGTCAAAGCTTCCAGATGTCAACAGCCTGAAATTCAGACTGTTTTTAAATCAGGCTTCAAAAATGGGAGCACATTATGTTGCTGACTAGCCTGTGACTCACAAAATTACTGCATTTATCCTGTAATGAGTTCCTTAAAACAAAACAAACAAACAAACAAGGCAAAACCCACAACAGCTTCTCATGGCCGCTGGCATCAATTAGGTTTCTCTGGCATGTTATCACTTTGGCTCTTCTACACTTTCTGGAAAATGATTGTGGCTTCTCTAATTTTATAAAGGAAAATAGCTGCTGACTGAGGAACTGTACCAGAGAAATAAGTATATATTTCTAGAGCAGTCACTGTATGGAGTTTTATTAGCCTCCTTTTGAGATTCCAAAATGTCATGAAGCTGCATCTTGTTTGGAACTGGGATCTGAACATCCAGTTCAGATGGTGACACAAAAACACACACACACACAGAAAAAACAAAAAATGTACTATCAACATATTTGGGCATATGAGGGAGAAAGAGGAAAATAGATAAAGTTCTTAAAGGACTACATGTGTATATAAACCAAAAGAAAGAACAAATCCAATATAGTTTAAGGTTATGTTAAGTAAGTTTTCAAATAGGTTTGCATCTTTTTTTTTTTTTTTTTGCAAATACATTATTTTTCTTTGCAATTGTACGTGCAAAAGGCCACCACACAAACAAATGAGCAAGAGCACAAGAACGACCACCTCAGTGAAGAATACTCCAAGTAGAAATTTTCCAAGCAGAGCAACTCCCTATGTAACTGCGCACATTTTTGCTTGCCCAGTCTAGAACATGAAGCTAAACATTCAACCCATCTGCATTTCTCCAAAAAATTATTCAAGACAAAGGTTCCCACCAGGTTAGCTATTTGGGACAGCACACACGTACCAATGTACCAAGTTCCAATGGGACTTGATGATCTACTTGATGATCTACTGATGAACTTGATGAGCTACTCATCTCATGTGTGTGGCCTTGGTTACATGCATCAGCACTGTTTCTTAAACACAGCATGGATTTTCTTTACCATTAACTACAGAGGTTAGATACAGATGACACATTCTGCCAATAGAAAGGAGCTGGCAGTATTTCTGCCCGCAGTAATTTCTAGAGGAAAGCAAAAACGAAAGAAAACAGTGAAAAAAGAAATGTTTTTTATGGGTTTTTTTGCTGGAGAGGAAGGACACTTGACAGAACTGCCATCCTCACATCATCTTTTCTATCATTCCCAGGTATCAGCAAAGAACTATCATGCCAGTGTCCCACCACACTTTAAAAGTATGGGCTTTTTTTCCAAGACTTTAAGAATGTTCCTAAGAAGACCCAAACTTTTCAGCTTGGCTTACTTCTCAGCAGTATGCAATAAACTGGACTGTCTCCTCCCTCTGCTTCAAAACTACACTATGCAGTGGTTTACCAAATACTAGAGGCGCTTTTCAAAGAAAGTGGATAAGGAAACCCTCAATTTCCCAAAATTATCTACCAAAACCAAAAAAACTTCACGTCGCAGTCAGCACTCTAGAATTTGAAAATACGTAATATCTTGGAAACCATTCTGCACACAGGCAATTTTTAATGTACATGCCCTACACACAGCCACATATACACAGTAATAGTAAAATATGTGATTTACAGCAAAAGATCTGTTGCCATTTTACAGAGGGAGACATTGGTTTCTCTCAGGATATGCATCAGATGGGCATCAAACTCAAGACTGAACCCAGTGCTCTGCCCATGATACCGCATTTCCCTCTGGAGATCTTAACTTAAAAAAGAATAAGAAGAAAATCACTCAGCTCTTTTCCATAGGATCTGTATCACTTGTTTCTCTGGCCTGTGTTACACACAACAGAGCCAAGCATTTCTCTTTGACATCCAGTTTGATGGTGAACTGACTGACTGACTGACACCCAGATTGATAAATAGAGACTCCTGGGCTCTCCTTTAATCCAAGGATTATTTCAGTCTACTAAAGTGTCTGCAAAAGATCTCATTCAACAGCAGAGATTCCAAATAGGAAAGAACTACCAGAAACGAGTATATAAGTATAACAAACATAAAACCATGTTTGTGAAGACACCTTCACCAGGACTTGCATGGTAATTTAAAAATGGGAGAGGGAAGAGACAAAAAAAAGAAAAAAGCCTAGGCAAAGTGGGCTTCAACATACGCTGCATACCATTTACAGGCTTCATCAACAAACCAGGAATAAACAGAGAAGGAAAATAATATTTCCAACTGTTTAAAATATATAAATTAATCTAAAAGTTTTCCTTTTGTAACATTAGCATTAGACAGTATTACACTGTAACAGACAGACTATATCACTAGTGAGGCAACTAAGCAGGTAGTGGCGCAAGAAAAGAAAAACACATCTGTTCAAGCACAGCAAGGTTGGCAACCCCCGCCGTGGATGTCATTAGGCTGACGAGCACTTCTAGAAACCAGAACTTCTCTGCAGCACACGCAGCTGCCATCGAAAGGACAGAAAAATCCTGGGGAACAGGGGAATCGGGCTGCACTCAGGGTAGAACCAGTAAATCACAAGGTTGGGGCCTGTTAGCATCTACAAACGCAAGCAAACAAGAGCATAAAATACATATACAAGAGCATAAGTACAACTTAACTACAGCCTGCAGGGACACAGCACGCATGACTAAAATGTTTTGCTCATCTAGAAAGGCTGCCTCAGATCATACGTTAAGCGATAAGCTTAAGTAGTTCCTGACTGATTAAAGTATTTATGTTCAATTATTTTGATAGGTCCCCTCAGGACATTATTAAACTTGAAACTATTATCTAGGCAAAATAAAAGCGCCTAGAAAACAGTAATTACAGTTAAGTTCATGGGACAAAATACAGAATAGCTGTCCTTTCCTCAGCTCTGCATCGGAGGGAGTTTCTCCATTGCAAGCTGATACTACTTCAAGATGAATTCTTAAATAAATGGTTCCATTTTAATTTTCCAACTCAACATCTCATTTCTGTATTATGTGGCTCTTTACATATGGAAAGTGAGAACAGCTGATGGACTACTTAGCAAAAAATTACTCATTTTTTAAATATTCTTATTATCTCTTTTCCTTCTAAGCAACTCTTATCCTCAGAAAGATGAAGACACAGATCCTACCACTGAAATTATTTAAATTTGAATAATACAGCTTGACAGATTGTTGGGTTAAGGTTTTCAGAGTATCCTCAGCACAGAAGGCTCTCAAGTTCTCAATTTCAAGAACCATACTGCAAATACTCTGATTTACCACTGGGCAATTCACATCAAAATTCACGTACAACTGGCTCAACATTAATTTGTATATATTTTAAAGAGAAAAGAGTCTCTTAAAAACATTAGCTATGATTTCTCAAATAGCTGGTCTGCTGGAAAGTCAATATCATATTAGAAACTCTACAATAATAAGGAATTGAGAAAAAAGGCACCAGCTCAATTTCTGATTCCACCAAAACCATTTATCTTGAAAGCCACCCGCATGCCAAACTTTAGATTACTCAGAGATGAGGTAATACAAGGCTTAATACTTAACAGATTTTTACATGGAATAAGCAGGATTTCTTCTGGATAAGATCATGCCATGCTCTATGGTTCATTTTAAGGTCCAATATGAGAGCCAGAAGATGAATTCTTTAGAAACAGATGTTAGAGCAATTTTATTTTCTCGATTATAGCTAACAGACATAAAAATCTAGGAGACTTCATCGGTGTTGAAATGTATCTTCTATCAAGTGATTACTTTAAGGATATTAAAACCCCCTAAAGAGGTCAAGTTGCTATTTTGTTCTATTTTTTTTTGCCTGAATTAAAACAAAAGGTTGATGCTAAATAGATGCTTTTCTTGTCTCTGACACTTGAGTGCTGGCAAGCCATTCATCATGGGTATTAGATTGCGAATGACTCATTTTTGTGCTAAGCACCAACACCAAGGCAAGGCAGGTGGCAAGAACGTGTAGCTGGGCAAGGTGTCAGATAAGCTCAGCAGCACTGACAGCCCTTCACCTTGTGGCTGTTTCTTGTCGGGCCCCTGGAACAGGGAGAATTCAGTCCTGGAATGGGTCCTTTGAAAGGAGGCGGCAGCCAAGCATTCGGGGAGGCCGGGCTACCTCTAACAGCAGCAAACGGCACTTGGGGCACAACAAAAGCAACTGGGGAGGCCTGGCCTAGGAAGCTAAACATCCCAGCAAAGCCGGATCAAGAGGAGGTCAGCGCTTGCTAAATACCTTGATACCCTGTGAGGCTGCAAACATGACTCTACACCTGTATCAATGAACCCAATAAAAGAGTGACTATTTACATTGAAATTTCATTTAGAATGCTTCTTATGTTAAAATATATATCACAAGTAATTCTATAATAATTTTTTATATATTGAAATTTACTAAATACCTTCTGTAGAACATTGTCTCTTACAAGGTACTATGAAAAGATCAACTAATCAGAGAGAGATAGTGTTTTTGACATGTTTTCTCCCCTACTGTAAAGATGTCTTCTTCAAACGTTCAATCTTTACAGTACTGCACATAACAAATGATTGTTTTTAAAGAAATGAAGGTCCATTCACTGGTTCAAATTGATTCATCACGACCCACTTACCTATCACTTGTCTAAGGGTTTGAAAATTAAAAGTATTAAACTAAATTAGACCTACCTGACTAAAAAATCTTCTCTTCTTTTGTAGGTACCTCAACTATTTACAATGCACTCACAGTGCAGCCCAACACGTATTTTTTCAAATGAAGTTTATTATTAACTAATCTAGATGAGACTTTTATCCTGTCAAAGTAACCTCATTATTTTAATTGTCATCTCTTTTAAAAGTCTGCCATGGAGAAACTAAAGTGAAACTGGTGAAACTAAGGCAAATAGGAAGTACCTACTTGTATTCTATCTTACTCTCTGTTCCCCTTTTCTGCATATCACCTTTTCTGCATATTACAGGAGATTAACACCACATCTTTGTAGGAAACCACACCTAATCATACACAACTTAATGATGAAAACTAGACCTACCAGCCATCCCTTCTACAAGCTGAAATCTTGCATTTAGTACAGAGAATGATGGGTTTTTTTGTCTCAATCTATTTTACTGTGCTGTTTGATACAAAAAAATGAAATACTTGGTATATTATATATATATATATATATATAGTAAGGTAATATAGCATATTACTTTATGTATATAGTAAGGTAATTGAATAGAAAGTTACAATCTCTTTCAATTGAGCAAGTTCTGTGAATTCACTTTTCTGGAAAAAAACTGCACCTTTTCCTTCTTTGGTACCTGTTTTTATTTGAAATTTCTTGTAATTTAGCACCAGAATAGCAGGAAGTAAAAGTGCAAAAGCAGAACTAGAGACAGCAGCCATCACCCTGCATCAGCCAACATCCTCCAGGTACCACTTAATTTGTTGCCACTGACTAAATTAACTAATCAGTTTTCCTTATTCTAGACCCCTGCTTTTAAGACACCTATAGTCAGAACAGAACTTAGATTTGCAATGCCAAAGTTTTATCCATTAGTGCTGAATTACCAAGGGTCCTTAAACGTAAGAAGCACATACTTCAGCTGATTTATATTTTATTTAAACCCAATAAAACAAAAATCATTCAAATAAATACAAGAAAAAAATGCATTGATCCACTGCTTTGCCAATCCACATTACCTTTTCACAGGCTCTGTCTGCACAAGTGCTGCATCTGTCATGGCTTTCATCCACAACTCCATTTCCTTCCCTGTATCTGTGCAGAAATAATAGGTCCTCATGTTTGGATGAGCTGCCTGATTGGAAATGACATGGTCATTGCAATAAAAATATATGATTCTGTAAAAGAAGAGAGGCAAATGTTGTTACTGTCTACTTGTTCTATTCCTTTTTTATTTAATAAGATTTCTGAAAACAGTATTATCAGAAAAAAAATTGAAAGAAATATTTTAGCTATGTTCCTCTTAATTAATTTACATTTAATAATTTCTTATAATTTTCCTAGTTGCTCCTTCATTAATACAATCGATTAAAAGCCCTTACAGTTCTTAAAAAAAGAAATCTCGATCATTCATTAATGTAAATGAATATAAATAACATGTTTTGGTAAAGATTTTCACAGTTGCAACAGTATAGTAAATTTTAATTTGTACTTACCATTGTAAATAAGTGATGTGCAGCGTAATAGACATTAAGAAGCTCATAGTCAAAAGGAGCTCATAACACAAACAAACAAACAAAATAGGTCAGGAGAAAATATTTAGTAATTTACTTATAATACCTGATTTATAACACAAAATCAGCTATGAAACATTCCTAGCAATGATTCATGCAATGCCGTGATTTGAATGATAATAAAAAACACATTTTATTTACATATATAAATAGAACATATCTAAATAACCACATAATCTTCATTAATGAAAATCTAGCTATGGAAGCACTTCACAACTCCAGAATCCAAATACTATTTCAGACTCTTGTACTACAACTAAAAGGCTAGTAATAAACAATATTACAATATTTCCCCTTTCCCTTATTCTAATAGTGATGCTTGTATTTACACCTGACTAACCACTAGAATCCTTTGATACAGTATTATTCAAAGAAAATCCAGAAGTTGTTTGTCAGCCCTACCGTGCATAAAAAAAACATATTCAGTCAAACATTGTGATCACTACACACTCATACTCTCAGATATAAAACTGAACTGAAAAATTGGATTTTCTCACCTTAAAGGCGTATTTGCGGTTAATATGGTCTTCAGGAGAAAGAACAGATATCTGAAAACTGGGTAGAAGTATGCTACCCAATATTCCTTCTTCTTTCTCATCTAGAAATACATAATCCTTGATTAGGAAAATGAAGTATTTTGATGCATGAGATTCTCATTCAGGCACTTATTACTTGGAAGCTTGTATTTAACAAAACCCGACTGTATCCAAAAGTGCATTGCTAGGGATGAGCACAGTCAGCCCAGGGGTCGTGCCAGAGAAACTTGAAGACTTTACCCTGTCATTAGCCCACCCTCTGTGATAAATCCAGCAAGGACAGCAATGACAATGACATCAATGATGCTGCGAGGGAATTTGATTCTGCCACCTCCAGAGCCCTTTCTGGATGCGGTTCACACTAGTCAGACCTGTCCTTCTTGCTGGAAAATGACAGGGGGTCTACCTCTCTGAGGAATATTTCCTGAATGTTTCCCCTGGAAAACCAAAATAAGTATCTTTCCTCCAAATGGAAAATTTTCCTCTGAAGTCTCACACTAAATAAAATCACTGCAGTGGAAAAAATCAGCTTTTAATCCAACTTCAACTGCATTTCTTAAAATAAAGAACTATGGAGTCATTAATATTTCTTAATATAGAATGGAGATATTTTGATTAATGATGAAACATAAAAGGTGAGAAATTTGCAGAAATCTGTAATGAGACCTCAGAAGACATATTTAGTACGCTGACCCTGGTGGCACTGACACAAAAAGATGCCCTCTACTGAAATTTGTTGGTCAATTTGTTTGTCAGTTTTCCTCAAACACTTTATGCAGCTGATATAGCAAAATGGATATGCAAGGTTTCATTACCTTTAAAATACGTATTTCTAACAAAATATACCATTTTCTATATATCGTACTTAAAATTCTTTGTTTTATGAATTAAACAGGAATACGTTTATCAAAAAAGGGTGAAGGTCTTTGGTTCTTATCTGTCCTAATTTATCATATGCTTAAGTGTATTTGATTTTGGTTAAGGTTACCAATAACTAGAATAAGAAAACAAAAAATAAATAATCGTTAGGCTATATGTAAATATTGCATGTTCTATACCAATCTGGGTCCATGATTTTCTGTTGGTCAGCAGCACATGGAAGGGACCTAAAACCAAAGCCACTAATACTCAGCGTAGTGAAGTACAGGTGACCTGAAGAGGGCCATCTTCAGCCTTCTCCTGAGATGGGTAAGTATTAAAAAAGAAAGAGCAGCAGCAAAAATCCCTCTGCACGTGCCCATGGTGTAAACGCCTGCGTGAGCCACCTTACAGAGTCCCTCGCTTAATGGAAACCACCCTGAACAGCTTCCCTTGCAGTTTTCCTTTGGATCATTGCTCAACTGCAGGCAACTTCAAACCTAGAAAGTCGGGTCCACCTTCTAATTCAGCAGTAAGAATAATACCTGCTATCTTTTGTCTATTGAGCTAAAAAATTACCAATGCCTATGAGAGCAGAAGCATTTGAAAACACTGTTTCTGATTGCTGGCCTTGAAGACAATTTGCACGTGTTTCCACTTGTTGACTGATGTCAGGCACATTAAGCCAGGAGATGGTTTTAATTCTCTTTGCCAACAGTGTTCAATCAATAATTACACTCCATTTGTGAGAATATATGTTTTAGATCATTTGCAACAAAAGAAGTATTTCCCCTGAAAATTGTTTTACATAGAATTTTAGAATGATACATAAAAATTACAAATTAGTATTTTAATTGGAAGTCGCAGCCAGCTTTTAAATCCAATTATGCTTTAATAAAGGGATAATTGGATGCGATTCACAAAGTCAATCTTAATTATTTTCCAAATACACAACTTTTATTCCCAACCAATATTCAAAACTGCTCCAAATATTCTTAGTTCAAGATACTGCTCACAATAAGTGACTATATCTGTGTGATTAACATGAAAAATAGATATTATAAAATTTCAAGCACAGAAAATTAATACTTGTTACAGTTAAACCAGCTATAGAAAAACACACAAAAGGACTAACACATATGTGGATTTCTCTGGTTCTTGTTCAAGCCATTGAATTCTGAAAAGCCACATTTTTCACTGCAGTTATTTACTCAGGAAAAGCTCTTCTCAGCTACATTAGCCTCACATTATTTGCTCCACATAAAAGTTAGGCTTTCTTAACTAGATAGCTAACTGGAGAACTGAACTATAAAAGCACCCTGATTTAAACTTATGAAAGAAATGCAGGGGCTGGATTTAGTTTCAGGTACTCAACTGTCTACTAACAAGGTAGCTTGAAACTACCTCTCCTTGCCACTACTCCAACATTGACTCCGATAACAGCAGCATTTGTTTCTCCATGTTACTCACAGAATATGTAACAAATTTGGAGCTTCTTACTTTCTGTGGACTATGGGTTTGGGAAACATATTCCTCCTCCGCTAGATTAGGTTTTGAGTTGCTTGTTCTAAGCAACTTGCACTCACTGGTGTCATACAAAAGCATTAAACATTTTCCACGGAACAGCTGCACGTCTGGAAGACTTTGCTCTTTGTTAGGGCATCCTGCTGCATTCCATTTCTTGCTTTTAAAAATCTGTTTCCCAAAAGATCAGCTTTTATCCAGACACTGCATCATTCCTTTTTGCTTGCATGCAATATTTGAATAACAGGAGAAAAATGGTACATCTTTGTTCTAGTGCTAAAATCTTTTATTTGTTTCAACAATAACTTCCTTACAGGGAAGCAGGCAGTATTTTACACCTCTCAGTGAAATGCATAAACAATAACGTGTAAGTGCTGACAAAATACAACAAAATCATTTTCCATTTTATCTATAAAACAGATTTAGGCATTAGCTGCCATCATTGCAACTCCAAATGAACAAGTTCCAGAAGTCTGAGGGACTTCTTCTTCAAATGAATCAGGCAACCAGGAATGCAGCATCCTAGGGGATCCCCCTTTTCACTTTCTGAACGAGACTGAATTTATCTCAGACACAAAGTCTGAAGCACAGGATTATAACGCAGGCTTGCTGATTTTAATAGTCATTTATAACATTTTTAAGATTACTGGTATATATGAGCTTAATACCAATTTATCGGCTTTATCTGCTTCCTAGTAAGGGAATAATAGATAAACATTAAGTTTATCATGTGGACAATTTAGACTATTCTCTTATATTTCAGTTTACTTAGTCCACTTTAAAACACAGCTCAGGAAAAAAACCAAGATGGAGGATTTATTGGATTTTGGTGGTTGCTTTGTTATTGAGAGATTCACGTTCAGTTCTTTGGGTCAATTTAAGTCTTAACTCTAAAGCAACGATTCCTCTAGAAGAGAAAGCTTAAAAACTTGCTTAAAACAAGAAAATCCTCCAACAAAAGCCACACAATATGAAACAACTACTTAATTACGTAGAGTAAAATTAGTGCACAACCAATGTCTCCATGACTGAAATTGTAGCCCTGTAGTGACTCAGCAATGGTTTAGTCAAAAATATACCTTCTGAGGGTAAAGAATTATATATTTATAATATAAATATAGATAATAATAATGATTATATCCCAATGATTTGAAATTTATAAATTAATAAACAGCTAAAAATGCACATTCATGACCTGATTTGTCTTGACAAGTGTAGAGACATGCTGCACTTAGAACATGCTGCACTTCTAACAGAACAACATTTTAACTTCTGCAGATACTGCTTGCAGCATTATCACCATCGACACTACTCACACCAATCCATATTTCTGATCCCAAACTGAAAAGCTTTCTTACCTATATATCCTTTGTAAGGCTGCTCATGGCTTTTACTGTTCACTTCCATAGATTCTGCTCTTAGGCCCATTAAACAATCACTTTGGTACAACTTGTTTCAGGATTGAGTGAGTTCCCATACGCACAAATCCCATCTGTTTATCTTCTCAGGAGTACCACAGTTAATCATCGGTCACCGGGATCAGTTTTCTAACATACTGATCTCCAGATTAGAATTATAAGCAGCTAAATACCCCCAATAAGATAAGTCTCATGTAGCTACATAAAGGTACATAGAGGCAGATTTATGTTTTTCTCTATGTAGAGCAGAGACTTTTGCTCATATGGAACTGTTCACTTACCAAGCACACGCTAACCGTTCCTGCATTTCCCAAAGTCAGGGATATCCCTTCCATCTGGCCAAGTCAGAGTTTCACTCTTCCTTCACTAGCCCTTGCATGTTCCCCTTTCAGATACTTAATTTGCCCAAGAAGTCGGATTTTACTTGGTCTATAAACCTTCATAACAACAGCCATGGTGAAAAGCCTACAGCCCAGAACAAGAGTGTATTAAAGAGGTGGCTGTCATGCGATTTGCCCTTTGAGCATACCTGAAAGGCAGGAAGCAATTACGTGAAATTGCTGATTAAGAAAGGAAGAATAGAAGATAATATATCCACCAGGTCAGCATATGGGCAGCTACACCACTTTTATTCATTAAGTTAAGCAGCAGCTTCCTTTATCCTCTATTTGAGTAGAGGGTCAAAATTCATTTTAAAAGACTGTAAATTACAATTAACATAAAAGCACACAGTTGTATCAGGGCTCTTACAGGCTTTATTTTAATGAAGTTCCCTTTTTCTTTCCGCTTCCAGTAAAATGAACCTACCTTCCCCGAATGAAACTTACCTCTGTAGTAGAAGAGACACAGATCTGAGAGCACAAACCATCGCTTCTTCCACAGCTTCATTCCAGTACTGTCCTGTATTAGTCAAAGTGATCACAGAAAAACTTACCGGCTGTTAACAGTAAACAGGTTGGAAAGGCAACTGCCTACTCTGCAACTGTGGCTGGGTGCTAGTTGTTCACTTTTAAGGCTAAACCTAGATACTAAGTATCTCTGATTTCTCATTACAGACCTGTTACTGAACATCAAGATGATAATCCTGGAGGCCTGAGGTTACTATAATTCAATAATTAAAAGAAAGCCAGATTTTTAACAAGCTGGAGACTTCATTTCACAATAAATGCCAAAATTACATACACATGTTAAAAGGAAATGAGTAGGTGAAACTTTAAAAAAAATCTTTCTTTGTTGCTTTCTCAGGAAGCTATCTGCTGAACTTGGTCCTCTGCTACTACCCATACGTGTGAAACAAATTTCTTCCTCATATAAAGTTTATTCCTAAAGCAATTTCATTTTCTTTTATATTTATAAGCAATTTGCACTGCACAGCTGAGAATGGAAGCCTGGCACCAGCACTGCAGTGTAAATAAGCCAAAGCGCTGCAGCAGGCACATCCTGCTAGGCCTGGATTTAATAAATATGTTAATCTGCTGCAGGAAGAAAGGTATGTGTGAATTATCAATATTCCTGTAGTGAATAGCTTTTTGTGACAACTAAGAGGAGAGATTCTATACTGAAATCTGCAGCTCTGCTTATGGCTCAACTAAAAGATTTTTTTTTCTTTTTTTGAGAAAAGTCTGCATAATTTTCAGCCTCTTATTTCAAGCTCTGTTCTTCTTGGGGTGGGATGAGGAGCTGAAAGAGGGGGAATACAAGGAAAAGCAAACAGCAGCTAGGAAAAAGTGTCCAGCAAAAGTTCCAAAAAGCCTTTGCCGCCGAAGTTTGCCTAAGCAGGGTAACCGGGCCCTTCACAGCACCTCACTCCTGGGGACATCAAAGCGATTTAGCCAACGCTAATGAGGCCTGGAGGCGCTCCATGGCCGTCAGCTCCCGTTTCACAGCTGGCCGGGCAGGGACAAAGCGGGATCCGGCTTCCTCACCTCCCGGCCGAGGTCCCCGGCCGCGCAGCAGGTCGGAACGCGGCGCCCCCAGCCCCCCAGACACCAACCTCACAAACCCGACCTCAGCCTGTGGAAAATACCCCGGATTCTGCAGCGCACAGAATGGTCTCGAGCCAATAGATAGATCTGGGTTTTAAGGAGACTATCGCATTCCACTGGGTTTATCCTGTCACTCAACAGGTTGCTGCATGGCCAGAGCCTGCAGGCAGCGAAACCCTCCAGGAATGGTTTTTCTGCCTGGTTTAGACACAGCAGACAGAGGCACATGAGGATTAAACAGCTGCCCTGTCTTTTCGCTACCCGTGTAATAACCACTATTTCCTCCAGCTGTGTTTAAACAACTTCTCTGCAAAGACTTTAAAAGAGTTAAAGACTTAAAGACTTTAAAAGAGTAAAAATTTTTTTCAACTGATTTTTATGATGAATATGCATTTTTATCATTTCTCTATTGGCTTGAAAAAAGCCATTTCTCTATTGGCAGGAAAAAAGAGACATACATAATAGAAAGAATCTTTAGGGCAATCCAATAAGTTTTTACTACTTTTCACACGTGTGAAATTCACTGCAAAGCATCCCAGACAAAAACTGACACCGAAGTGAGGAATTCATCACACTGCAACCGGCATCTGCCTGCATTTTTCAAGTTCTTTGTGTATTTTGTAGAGGTAACAGATACACTAATGCAGTTATTCTGTAGCTGTCTAATGTCATTACTCAACGGAGCATTATTCAATAAGAAGGTAAATATAATTAGTTTAAGAAAAGTACTGATTCCTCCTGATTTACAGCTTCACGTTAATGTTCCCACCATTATATTTTGCACAAGTGACTGTTCTCGAGACATTAAATATATTAGATAACTTACAAAAACAAAAGGAAGAGGGTGGGGAGTACCTGCTTGTAGAGCCAGCCACGCCTGACGACGGGTGCATTAGGATTCCTCTTTATAGAGTTCGATCTCTTCCCAAAATTATGGACCTTCTTTGAAGATCGTGAAGTCTAAATTAAATTGAACAGGTTAAACAAAACTTTGTGTCAGTATTTGTTGACTTTAGAAAAATGATAATGCAGTTTCTTTTATGATCTTTCCCTTATATGTGCCTCTCTGGAGGTTTGCAGAATATGTACTGTATTCCTTTTTTAGATAAGTAATTATTGTAATGGTTGTGATGACTTCAGCATTTCTATCTTTTTCCTCTGTAGGACTTTAAAAGGCAACTCCCCAGACAAGTACTTAAAAAGATTTTTTTTAAAAAACCAAGAAGAAAAATATATTATTTGACCTTCTTGTAAAGTAGGTAGGAGGTCTACCAAACTGCAGAGAGAGAACTAAAACTAATAGAGCTAATATTAACTATGGAAAAAAAATCATCATTTGGGGAAAAAAAAAAAAAACCCCTACTCTGCTTGCATCAAAGCCCTACTTGCAAACATGCTGGGATTTCCACAAGGTATAATTCCAGACTTCTTACTGGGCCTCCCTCTTTTCTTTTCTTTTCTTTTCTTTTCTTTTCTTTTCTTTTCTTTTCTTTTCTTTTCTTTTCTTTTCTTTTCTTTTCTTTTCTTTTCTTTTCTTTNCTTTTCTTTTCTTTTCTTTTCTTTTCTTTTCTTTTCTTTTCTTTTCTTTTCTTTTCTTTTCTTTTCTTTTCTTTTCTTTTCTTTTCTTTTCTTTTTTCTTTTCTTTTCCTTCTCCTCAAGGCGTTTTCCCTCTATCATCTCTTGTTTGGTTTGAATATTGATTATTTCACCTGCTTGCTCTAGGACCTACTTTGAAGTCTTTTTCTCTGTAATACCAGTGCTAATCCCTGCTCTTGACTGGACCTTTCACATCCTCATAGCCATGCAATGATCATGTTAGTTAAGAGAATCACGCAGTTAAGAGAAACTGCATAAATAACCTCTCCAGGACGTCAGTCCTCCTTCACATCAGAAATCAAAAGAAATGGGAAGAGGCCTAAAGAAGGCTCCTGTGCTTTGCCATTCAGGCTTCATTCTTTTCAGCTTATGTTTAGAAAGCTTGGTCTGCAATTAAAATCGCAAAACATTTATTTTGGTTTTAATTTCCGTAAGAACTGGCAACTCGGGGGCCAAGTAACGTGGCAGTGACGCTATCCCACTCTGCAAAAGGGACGTTCAAAATAAGTTTTTCAAGCTGTGTTCTCGGCTCGCCTCCAATTCCGCCCCTTTAATCCGGACAATGCAGCCCTGTGCTTCGCCCTGGCCACCACAGAGGCATTTACCTAATGATAAGGTTATGCAAAGAACCCAAATGAGATCCTCCAAGAGGAAGGCTGAACAAATGGGTTCCCCATCAGGTTCTGCTGCAAATTAGGACGCAGGGTTTCTCTGCAGAAACTTTCTCAACACCCAGGGCAGCACCGTGCTGTGCTTCACATGTGCTGCAGAGGGAACCTCACTGTGGATTCACATAATCTAAACTGGAAACTGAATTCAAAACAATGGGCAGCTTTTGCCAATAATACCACTCCTTTAAATGAAAACCACAAAGTCTGAAAAGTGGGACAAAAAAAGCACGTTACAAAGCCCTTCATGGTGTTGTAGATTTAGGACAAGCAAGTATCAAACAAAGGAAAGTTGTTTCGTCTTTCCTTTTTAAACAATTTGGTGGGGATATATAAAAGAATAGGGTCTCTCTAAATTCATTTGGAAACACAGAAATTTGTCCAAACACAACTGGAAAACAAAACTGAGCAAACAATTGAGAGAAATAATTCTGATCTGTAGCATTTTCACCCAGAACATTCTATCACTGCATAATGGGTAGAGGTTTGTAAGACACCAAGATAAACTAATGGAACTGAGAGAGAGCCCTAGAGCAACATTCCCAAATCTGGACGGCTAAATTCATGAAGCTGTAAAAAGAGACAAAATATAAAGTATACAGAGCACCTTTAACAGAAAGATTAACTGTACAGCCTCTACACCATCACACTGCACACGAGCTGCTTGAAGACACTGAGGGGCAGGTTACAGCACTGCTACCTGCTCTATTATTTGGTGCTAAAGGCTGAGGAGCTTTTCACATCTCCCACCTCTGTAAAACAGTCAACGTCTTGGGGATGCTTCTGAAAACACAAACCGTCTCAGTATGACTGGTACAAGTCTGCCAGCAAACCCATATCTCTTAAATAGATTTCTCTTCAGCAGGTCTGATAGCAAAGCAGGCTGTCTCCAAACTCACGGAGCTCAGGACAGGCCATCTCACCCGGGGCAAATACAAACTTGCATTAACTGAGCAGAGCATCACAACAAATGCCTTCCAATTTTATTTACTTGACTCGTGCCGTTATTATACCACACTCGGCATAAATAGAGTATCTGTTCACAAGCAGTTCTGAGCCTCAGGACAATGAATATTTTAAGATACTGAGATATAAGAGAAGAGTACGTGTGTGTGCATATATATATATATATATATATACACACACACAAACTAATTATCACTCCTCAAACTTGTAAAATTATATTCTCCTCTTTCTCTCTTATTATGCCTGGGATCCCTGGCCACCTCATGCTTTCTCACACGCACATCTTTAATACATGTCAAACTGAGGAAACAGGAAAAAAAGAAAGAAGAAAAAAAGACAGGGTTCAAATACTTTTCACTCTAAGGCACTAAAAGCACAGCCCCATAGGACATACTGCACAGCTCTGGCTTCTGAATAAGGGAAAGAAAGTCAAATTCGGTGCCATTTGACCCTCGTTCTGAGCAACAGTCCCAGCTGTGCGACGTCTCTGAAAGCTGAGCCTATGGGACTCAGTACAGCTCAGGTACTGAGTAAGGAAATACAAAATCTGACCCCTACATCCTCATTTTCTCCTGCCTGGAGGAAATAAATGCCAGCAGGGTTTTGAACTGTGGGCAGCAGATCAGCAGTACCCAGGGCTGCAGGCTCCTTTACATTGGGAGCTGTGCCCTGCCTAGTTTGTAGGTGGCACAGAATTTACTGAAATTTATTTCCCCACTATTCAACTTATGTTTAAAAACATGTTTCCTGTCTTTAAGGCTTAGCTGACCTTCCAAACCACAAACCAACACGATGCTGCCTTCCTGATTCCACAGGCAATTTCTGTGCCTCCTGCTACTGCAGCTCTCCACAAACCACGCGTGTTTCTGCCTCACCAGGCCCTGGTTTGCCTGGTAGCCCAAACTGGATTTCCCTGGATAAAACTGTTATCTCGAAATGAACCAAGAGCAGTCCTGAGGAAGCTGCCCATGTCCTGAGGAAGCTGCCCATGTCCTGAGGACATGTCCATCTCCACACCCAGGCTGCAGCGGAGACGCGAGGGGCTCCGGTTGCCTTGAGCAAGTCATTGGTGTCGGTCTGCTGAGAGTGAGGACAGGCATGAACATCAAGGCAGCTGTGGGTTACCCTGCTCTAATTACTGACACATTAAAGGGCTGGTACCCTAAATGCAGTTTAAGACACTCACTCATATTTGTCTTACTGAGGATTTTAACTATAAAAACTACTACTTCATCTCAAAAAGTAGGTGGGAAACGTGCAGGTCCTGCAGCAATCCCGGGCCTGCGGAGCTCCCTGCTGCAGCCCGAGGTCTGTGCTGGGGACCTTAGGAACGGGCTGCAGGCCGGCAGGGAGGGAGCAGCCCTCACAGGGCGCTCGGCTGCGGCACAGAGCTGCTGGAGCACCCGGCCAGCAGCCTCCCTGCAGCGGGGAGGGGAGGGAGGACTTGGGCCAGGGAGAGGCGGCCTCTGCCTCACCCGCTCCGTTCCATCAGCCTCTAGGCAGCAGCATCTGACTCGAGTAAGTATCTCTGGCAAAAGGAAAATCTTCTCCAAGTGTCATTCCTATTCTAGGTCAGCGAGGATTAATAAAAGTCAGAAGATACCTCCGCATCCCCCAGCTGTCCTAAACGTACTAGAAGAAAACCCTTTTATCTTATTTCCTCATTAACTCCCAATATTAGATGTTTTCCTGACTGCAAAGTGAACTACCTGAAAAATTAACAGGTGTAGCAAACTCCTGGAGCCCCCTTCCAGTCCATGATTTATTTTCCTCGCCAAAAACTTCCTTCTCTCCTCTTATGCTGTAATACACAGAGCCTCCACATATTGTATTCAGATTTTAATGTGACAGCACAAGAATTTCAAGCTCTACTGTTGGGGAGACAAATAATAAAAGCAGAGAAGAGAACAAGCCGGGGCATCCAGATGCAACCTGCAAGCCATTTCTAAACAGTTACCTTTTAACTTGTATTGTTCAAACTGCTAGCCTTAAAGAGCCACCAAAACAAGGCTGACTAATATCAGCTGTGCTTCTACTTCACAAATATTTGCCTCCTGGAAACAACACTATTAAAGTGGTGTAGCAGCAACCCAGATAAGTTTATATTGGAAAGTGATAAACAGTAATTGCACATATAGTCACATTAATCACATTACTATTTTAAGTGTATTTAATAACTGGAATAAGGGTTAGCAGTGATGAAAAGTAGCACAAAAGCTTGTGCTTCTTTAAAACATAATTGAATAATTTCCACAGGAAGCTAAAGTATCATTAATCAAAGATATAAAGAAATTACAATAATTACCCTGTAGCAAACCCTATTTCCTTCTAAAACACTATGAAATAAACATGCTGAAGGGCAGTCTTTTAACTGCTTGCTTGAAAGGGAAGGATGAAAATGTATTTGCAAAACGTGTTCCCAAATTGGAATTCATTTCCTATATTTAACCTGGAAGCATTTGCTAGACAGTTCTTTCTATAAAATGAGTTTCTATAGAACTCATTTGCTATAAAACTACTACTATAATCAGTAACATCATAACATGTCTAAGAAATAAACAACTTATTTTTTTAAATTGTCTCCCTGCCAGTTATGGACTTAAACATAACTTGAGACTATGTATGCATTTTGTTGCTGTTTGCAATTCACCTGTGACTCTTTCCGAGCAACACTGATAGATTAAGGCACTCCTTGAAAGCAAGGGCATTTTTTCCCTAAATAATGGTCTTCCAATGTAGGTCAAGGATTCTGCCTTGCTAACGAGACACTTGCAACAACAAAAACGACGTTTCAAAAAACACTCCAAAAGCAGTTTTTTCTAGATGCAAGCTTACAATGCTTCTATCTGTAACATGAAAATAAATTATTTCGATCCAAACTTTCTAAAATTAAGCAGACTGCAGACACCAAACTATATTTTCCCTTGCAGACTGAATTAATATGCTCTACTTTTCAGAGTTAAGATTTTCAATGCCTAAAATACATACATATATATATTTTTTATATATATATATACACACACTCTTTTTTTCGGGCTTTTTTGTAATCTGCCACGTAGAAGACATTACAAGGCTCTTGTCCCTAATCAGTGATCAAAGCTGTCAACTTGATGTTCCAGTTTTTCTAAAAAATTGCTTGACTGGTAAGGACAGAACTTAAATACTTAATTATGCAGTAAGTGCCCTTTCCTTGTATGAAGGCTCTCCAGAAGGCAAAAAAAGTGCACACAATATTCTCACCAGCTTAGTCCCATAATCCTTAAATACATATTATGGAATCCATCATAGGGGACTCCTTTACCTTCCCTGAAGTTGGATCAAGGGAGAAACTGGGACAAGATGAAGCTAGTGCAGCCACGGAATGGAATGCGGGACTTCTACTCCCAGCCCAGTGGATGTGAGCCGTGATGCAGGTGCTTTCATCCCTATCACATGCTCAACACCCATCTCTCCTGCAACCGCTTGCAGAGAATTACAGCTCTCCTTCTGTTTTACCTGGAGAAATCTCCTCAATTGCCTGCACATCTAGTCATTGCCACAATGATGTTTACCCAGATGTCTGAGTAGTTGCTCAAAGTTTTGCTGTTTCACACACTTACTTGTTTGGGAAGTTTAGGTTCCATAAACAATTTAAGTATAGACTAATCACACAATCCATGATCTCTAACAAAAATTGCAGCTTCTGTGATAATTTGTTTCAAACACCTGAGTTTCCAAATTAAATGTGAAAGGAGCTAAATGCCCTAAAGCAGATATATGGATTTTTTTTCCCCCTCTTTCAGATGGAGCACTAATAACCCAGTTTCTCTGTGAATAGCACTTTAGCACCTTATGGAGTAACTATTTATATTTTAATTTAATTTGGACGCAAGACTTACTCTGCCCACAGGGCTCATGGGATGAGCAGCATAATCTGATGTCAAATTATAGTTAGTAGCTTCACATATCATGCTTACTGGTCGCTCTTTCTTTTCTTCAGATGTCATAGCTGCAGCAGTCCTGAAAATAGAATATGTAACAGCACTAGAACATGCTGTGTCTGCAGATTGCTATTAAAAAGCATTTCTAGATGTTGCCTAATAGGAACTGTGTCCTACTTTTCCTATTTTTAAGCAGTTCACATTTCATTGTACAGGTACCTTTACTGTGATTTAAAAAGGCCATTAAATTATACAGCAAAGGGAAACTTAAATTTACAACAGATGAATTCTCTATTATTCTAAGGGGTTGAAGGGATGGAGAAAGGCAGTTAGGAGCATGAGGCAGAAATGGTGAGAAACGTTCTTCAAAGAGCCCATTTGGCCTTGCCCCACTTGTGTGACAGCAATGATGTTTGTTCAGTTTCTCATATTCCACGTCTCTCAAGGCCCTTCTTTAACCACTATTTCTGTTGCTGCAGCAATGGTGAGAAATAGGGCACCCAATACCTGCCCACATACAGTATCTCGATGGCAGGGAGGGCCACACTGTACACTTCTCATACCATTTAATTTTTTTCAGCAAAGAATTTGCAGTGTCCAGTATAAACTTAATGCTAAGGTAGCAAGAAAAATCATTACTCAACTATCCAGAAAAGGTCTAGACCAGCCAAGAAGGCAGACAAATGAGAAGAGCATTAGGCAAAACAATATAAATTAAATAAACTTGATGTTCCCTAAAGGATTCAAAAATAGATTCCTTGTTGGTAATTTACTGGATTGGTTCCTTTTTTAAATAGGCTATTTGCCAAAACTACAGCTGAATAACTCAAGTGACAAATGGAAATCCACATAACGTGGTTATATTACATAATCAAACTGTGCTTTGTTTTTTTATCTTAAAAATTAGTACTAACGATTATTTTTGTATAATTTGTATTTTTGTATAATTAAAAAGTCTCCTTGCTGGTACTCAGGAAAAGTAAATTTCAAGCTTTGTAATTAGAAATCACTGGAACACAGTGCAATATTAACACATGTTAAAAGATACATATTGTATAGCCTTAAACAGATGTCACTTACTGCTCATTCACAACAAAAATACAGTTGTCCTGCGACGGCTGTCCCGTTACTGGATGCTTGCAGGTTACTTTTCGTTCATTATGACTGTGGAGGAGAGACAAGAAACTGGTATAGACACTGCTCGACTAGATATTGAGCTTTTCAAGTCAGTTACATAAATCCAGCACAAGCACACAAGCCCAGCGAAGGCAATCACCAACGCTTCGTTATGAGCTGTAACTTCACGTCTCCCCTTATAACCCATCCATGCAAATGCTCACACTCCTTAAAAGAACCATTTAAAGAATTAAATACCCCACAAAATATTTTGGAGCAGATAATAAACACGGAGGAGAAAAGTCTGATTGGGTGCAAGGTACCAGAAGAGGGGCAGAAGAACCATAAATTTTCTCCCTATCAGCGACGTCTTCACTGCCTTGTGGCCCCTCTTTTGAGCTTTTCCAACCATAGAGCCCAGCTCAGCTTGCAAACAGGACGGTTTCTACCCCTCCAGCTTCCCAAGGCAGCGCGGGCTCAGCACGGCCATCTCCACATTCCCCGGGTTTCCTGAAAATTCCTTTGGATCAGGCAACTTCAGAGCGTGACTAATCGCAAGTTCCCTCCATACAAAAAGGCTAAGGGAGCATTTCCAGCCATACTCATGGCTGAAGGGCGTTTGCATGAACCTGCCCAAACCGAAACTGCCAGAGCATAGAGACAACCCAGTTCCGGGAACTTTTCTTGGTTTTGCTGCAGTTTACTGGAATTTTAAGTTGTAAGAGTCACAGAATTATAAGTTTAGCTTCTAAACAAGTTATAAAAGTGATGGTCAAGATGTAAAATCAAGTCACGGGGACTGTTGCTCCACGGCCGCTGCTGCCCGGAGCTGGGGCAGGCGGCGGAGGCTCCGCTTTGGGCAACGGGCACACGGTGACACGGGAACAGGCGACACTCGGACGTCCTGCACGGAGGTCACACACAACCCGAAGGGAAAACGTGGAGCAGGAGGAGGAAAAAAGCGGGGAGAGGAAGGAATGCCGTGACACAAACCTAAGTGAGAATGTTCTGAATCTATCTGAAGTCATATAGAGTCAGCCTTCCAAAAATATCCTAATATTTTGGGGCAAAATACATTTTTTCTTGCTACTCATACTAACATCAAGATGTACAAAGGTGTAGCTGATGTTTTCTCTAATTATATATAAAAGGCAAAAAATATCAGTGCAGACATGAAATCCAGTGGGCCATAATACACTTTAGCATTACAATATCTGTACAGTCGCTTCGCAGAGACAAGGTGAGGAAGATGAAGAACAGCCTTTGATTTCTCTTGAGCTTTGATGCAAATGAGGTCTTACAAGTGATCACTGAAAATCCAACTTGTACTACTAGGAAGTACGGCTGCTGTAAGCATGTTTGACTGGATATATGGATTTTAAACACTTTCATTTGAAAACTCCATCATTACTCATCCAAAATACTGCATTTTTGAGGTTAATTTAGCTCATATTTTGACAAGACTCCTCCAAATCCTGTGCAAGATGCAGAGGATCTTGATAATTATTTTCATAACCCTCCAACGCAACGGCAGGTGAAGGCATTTATTTTGAACTTAATCTGCAAACTAGGACTAAGTTCATTAAAAGCCTCCAAGGACATCCACAACCTTCATGACATCCCATTTAGGCAGCCGTTCAGTTATCCACAAACCATCCTTTGGGGTCCCCACAACACCTTAACGTTTTGGGTATTTATAACAACGCATGCCATTATTCTACCCCCGTCCAAACAAAACAAAAGGCTTTTTGCTTAAACATTAGACTATCAGAATATTCCGACGTCCGATTTTGCGTATTTCTGTGTCTGCAGTGACTGAGTCACTTTGATCCAAGCAGCTGGAAGCCACTGTGTTCATTCCCTCACCTAGGCAGAGAAGCAGCATCCAAGACACAGGAACACAGAGCTGCCCTTCCTCCTCTCCCTGGGCTGCCCTGGATAACACCAGACTCCCTGCACTCACGCACTGCTGGCCTTGTCCCAAAGGATGCAACTACCCCTTACTGTTCAGGCATCCCTGCTCAGGTCGTGTTACTGCTGTGTTAAATGCTAGAGCCAAAAAGGTAGGAAAACTCCCTCGTGTTTTATTGGTATTCACAGGTGTAATTGCCCAGACTTGGTTTGTGGCACGAACTGCTACTCATTAATATTTGTCACTGGGAGGCGTGGGGCTCCAGAAGCCAGCGCAGCTGGCTGGGACGACAGTATGAATATGCATTTCCATAGAAAATAAATCACAGTTCTTGCATCTACTGAGGTAACATTCTGTTCTTAATCCTTGCAGTGGCCCTGGACAGTGACCAAGTATAAAAGAATTAAAAAATAAAATAGGCAAAATAAGGTAAAATATCAACCCACTCTAATTGCTCAGAGGCAGCTTGCATTTTCAGATGTCTCAGTGCAACACAACTGATGGTAATTTATCAGAATAACTCAAACCTCTTTCTCATTAATTTTTAGACTTTTCTTCCCAATCCAGTCCTCTGAACATTGCAAGCCTGGTGCCCAGACCAGACCTTTGCACACAAGGAATCATCTTTTCCAGATCAGAAGTTCATAGCAACCTTGAATGTGACTGAGGTCGTTTGCCTCCCCCACCGCCTCTCCTTTCCACCCCCAGGCACTCCTGGAATGACTCTCTTGCAGTGACAGTACCATTCTGCTTGTTCTCACTAATGCTCAAAACATATATATAAAAAAAATAGAACTACCACTCTTGCTACCACCTTGCTAGTCTTAATCTGCTCAGTAAGTTCACAGTCGACAGGCATCTTAACAGTGACCAAACGGCCATGGATTTTAAAAAACCCTTCAAACAGATTTTTCAAGCAGCATTATTCAGTTTTTCAACAGACCCTACACAATTCCAGGGGTAGCATTTCCCAACAAAATCCCTCCCCGACTACAAGAAATGAGTTCCTCAGTACAACCAGCACCCCTTTGGCAGCCAGGATAGCTGGGAAGCAGAGCACAAGGAGGGAGGAAGGCAGCGCTGAGCAGAGCGCCCAGCACACGCTGCACACATATGCACCCATTCCCCACACACCAGAGCAGCGTGAGAGCACCAAAAAGGCCACAGGCACCAGGCTGCTGGGCCAAGGGCTTCTGGCACCCTGTGCTTTGTTCTCTTCCTGCTCCAGCACTTCCAACTTTCAATGAAACTTCATTCAACTTTGAATGATTGGGTGAAGCCAAGCCATTAATGGCAGAGCGGCTTGATATGAGGCACGGAATATGAGGAACAAGTGCAGCTAGCACAGTGCATAGCCCCATCTCCCCACTGCAGTCTTCTGAGACTCGTATGCCCATCTTTCCTATGGGCTAACAGCTTGCAGATGCTTTCAAATGCTTTTTGCTCTTTTTTTTCCCAGCTTTATCTTGCATTTTACAAGACTGCGAAACCGCAAGATAACCCCAGCATTCTGTGTGCAGCATTTTGCTCTGATCCAAAGTGCTATGAAACCAGCAAACTCAAAGTTCTGCCTGGTTTTGCCATTTTGAAATATTTTTTTTGGGATTGGGAATCAACTCAGAGACTGGCAGCTGAAATGGGACAGAAGATGCATGGCCCAGCTGTACACCACAATGGACACAGTCAAAAACACTGTCAAAAACACAGGATCTGATCATCCCTCCCCTGGAAAAGAGGTCACCAAGAGAGATCAACGTACCACGGTGGGGACGCTTGGTTCAGGGTCCCTCCATTGAAACATTTGGTTGAAATCCCTGTGCTCACAAAAGAGAAGGGGAAGAAAAGAATAAAGGCCCCATGGAACTGGGCCAGAACCCACAAAGACGCATCCGGCCTTCTCCCACCAAAGCTACAACCGGATGCCACTTCCAAGCTCCTCTCTCTGTCCCTTCTTTGCCTGCTCTCTTTAGAGGCTCCTCAATGCTAAGGCTTCTCCTTTGCTCGCTCTCTGCGTGCCCGTGCGAGCAAAGGCCGAGTTCGGCTTCACGGCAAGCACAGGAACAAGGTGAGGAGGCAGGAGGCAGCTCCCAGGCACTCTCCGCTCCTCCGCCTCGGAAGCAGCGTTCTTCCCGAGCCGCGGACACCATGGGACGGACACTGCAGGAAAACGGGAGCCGAGGAGCGACGGGTGAGAACGCATGTCGGGAGGCAGATAAGACCCACAGCCTGGCAATGCTCATGAGGCAACCACCGTCAGCCACCAACTTACTCTGAAGGACGTGAAGACGTTTTACGTGAAAAGCAGCTTTACCCATTTCCCATGCATATTTCGCTGCAAAGGAGGAACAAAAATTACAAGTAAAGGTAAGGAGGCAAGGCAGGAATTTCAACGGGAAGCTATCCTCTGTACAAGCATGCCGAAGTTTTGCATGGCCGTTGCAAGAAGAGATGAAACCAGAGACAAACATGGGACAAGTCTGGCCCAGCTTTATTCAAACTTCTGTGAAGTATTTCAATTCTGAACTGGGGAAAAAATACATCAGCAATTTTGCCTTATGCATTTGCTTTCTAATGCAAGAATGCCTCATTTCTAATTGAAAAAAAAATGCGGCAACTTACAGTTATCTAATAAAAAGTTGCCCAAGTTTGGAAAATATCTAAGTAAATGTAGTCCCTACACAACTGCTAGCAAGGATGTGGTCTGTGGTTGCACTAGCTCTCCTATTTTACTAAATCTGTAATGCCACATGGCACAATAAACAGCGCATGCAAGCACTTTTCAGTTCTTACTGGCACATCCAAGAGCCACGGGCCTTTTTTCAATTAAACTTTTAAGCAGCAACTATGCAAACCACTGCTCAGCTTCACTAGAAAACACACGGATAGGGTAACTTCTAACATGGGCAAATCCGAGAAAAAAGAGGGTGTAAAGAGAAAGTTTAAAAGCATATAAAGCGCTGACAGAGCTGCTAAAAACCGAAGTACTTCGTGTACCCACAGACACATTCATTTCCCAAAAGATCAAGCATGACTGCCCCAAAATCGTAAAACTTTCCTTCAGTAGGAACCTCCTAAACACAAATTTATATTCCTGTGACAATATTGCGAAAAACACAGGACCTTTTGTCACCTAATT